TTAAATTTCCCAAAGAAATATTAGTCTTACTGAATTGAATATAATCATTACAATTAAAAATATTTCTGATACTAAGAAATGAATAATTTGAACAATCAAAAATAGAATTTTCGCTTATAAATTACTTCAAATTTTTGTTAGTAATAATAAAACAAAGTAATAATAGCAAGCATTTATTTTTAAATAGCATAATTTAAATTCAGAGCAGAGAAAAATTTGATATGGTCAAAGGTTAAGAGAATATAGCAATTATACAAGAATGAAACACAATTGTATTAGAACAATTCTAAGTCTAATTAATTAGAATGCTTTACAAGGTAATATCATTGGATGATATGTGGTTAATTATGTTCAGCAGTTATAAAGGTATAAAATAATCCAATGGTAAATCAAAGATCTGTTATGTCAATTATGCATTGTGTTGAAATTTTAATTAAATCATATTCATATGCTTTGGAAATTTTAAAGAAAGCTGTTTCATTGAAAATTTGAATATTAGTATAAGTTGTTAAAATAACTGCAGCAAACTCCAATTATGATTTTAAATCTGATCCATATTAGAATCTTTAAACTTAAATATTTAATTAATAAATCTTCCAGGATATTTAAAGATTTCGATCAATTCCCGTAAAGAAGTCTTTCAATTTTGAAGGAATAATGATGATGAAGAAGTCATTTGATTGAAAAGCTGAATATAAATTTCAATCAATCACAGTTTATTCAAAATTAATTCATTTGGTCTTCAAGAACATCAGAATCAATTTGAAAAACTGTGAAAAGAGAAATTTGAAGTAGGTGGCATTTCAATTCTAGAAAGCTCCATTTAGGCTAGTTCTGTTCTTATAAACACTTTTCCATTTCTCAAGATCATAATATGATACAATACTGCAATCAGATTATCTGTATTGATGATAATATTATTCTTGCAGCTGCTGCCAGTGTATAGAGCAGTTCATTTTATCTTTATGAGAGTTAAGAATGGAATAGTACATTAATATTTTCAGGCAGTGGTACTTTCAAAAAAGAAAAATATAAAGATGATATCATGTACGATTTATCGATGCAATTTCATTTCGGATAAAATTGCAATTTAGTTGTATAAATCATAAAGAAACTTAAATTATTTATGTTTCCCTTTTCTTTGCGACGAATTTATTTTGCTATCTGTCTAGTTTACATTACAACATCATTTTAAAAGTTGTTGTTTTTGTTAACAAAATAACTTCTCGTTTTTTTACTTCTTTGCAAGTTTCATTTGCGAGTTACTGAGTGCAGTAAACCATACATGCATGCATATGTTTGTTATTTTCCATTTCTTATATTTTAAACGATCAAATGAAATTTTGGTCTAATGAAATAAAGTATATTACTGGTTTCAAAAATAAATTTTGTTATTATTGCACCTATTAAACTGTTAGTTAATTGAAACAATGAACAAACAATAATAAATTATAGTTTAATACCAGAATGAAACTTCTCAATTTCTATTTGCAATTGAAATAATCATTTATAGTTAACATTTTGCATGAAATGAAAATTCTATCACTGTACAATTATTGAAATAAACAAATTAAAATAGGTGGTTACATCCGTAAAAGCGGCATAATGTGTTTTGATTTAAAAGTTTGAAAGCTTAAAGATAGCACATGGTGAATAACTTATAAATTATATTATCAATAATTTGCTTGAAGTATAGAAAGTAAGATAAATGATATGGAAGAAGCATATCTGTGATCATTTCAAATGACAAAAGTGAATTGTTCTAGTTTATATCATAATGAATTAAACAAGTTCAAATTTGTATCACTCTTATAGACATGAATATTTCAAATTCTATAATATATTGAATGACAGGTGATTGTTTAACTCTTGCTTGCATATTATTTGCTTCATCCTTTATCAAACAACAATATTTGCTTTGTGAATATTGAAATTATCATACTTTCTGAAGTAAACTGCTAAACAGTCGTAATCCATCAGCAATGTCGTCGATATCTACAATTATTTGCTTGAAGCATTGCAAATAAAAGTGACAGATATGAAAGAAGTCAACATTGAAATAGTTATGTCAATAGAATTATTTCTACTCATTGCTATGTATCAAATTTATTTCAACAATTGTTGAAAATGAAATTTCAAAGAAATTTCAGATATACTAAGATCAAAAAAAACAAAAGAATATTTTGATTATTATTTTTTAAGAGTAGTTTCAGAATTTTCATTTTGTCTAATCAATAAGACTTGAAAAATTTAAACAATTTTACTAATTTATACTCTTTTCACTTCTTCGTATCTCATTTATTTGAATCTCATTTAGATAATTTAAGAAAAGATTTTGATTTTCATCTTTCTCTTTCGCACCAAACTGATTTTGATAATTTTATTGAACTGATTTCAATCATTTAAACAATTATTATTTCTCTATGATTCAGTTAAAAATTATCGGACATTGAACGTCACAAACTTGGCAATAAAATGATGTCACATCGTTTCTTTTTTTTCAACTGTTTTACCAAATAATAAATGACGGATGGTTGGCAATAAATGAGTGTGCGTGGAAGTATTGGCTTAGGGTTTTTTTGAGGTATGGGTAATGGGGAAAAAAATCGCATTTGGCAAAACGTTGATTGATTTGACAAAATACGGCAAAACCGGTGTGATTGTCTTTTAACCTCCACATTACCTTTCGTCTCCGAAACTAGCTGGCCTACTGTAAACTAACGATGATGCAGCACTGTGAATTCACATTACTTTGGTATTTTTCATTTCATACTCTGATGAGAATTTCAATTTGATGTAATCAAAGCAAAGTTAGTGCATGCTAATCATATATTTCAATTATTTCAGATTAACTATAGATCATTTCATTTTCATTGTTCATTTATTACATTCATTCACTTTTTGTTACAATCATAATTTTGTATGATTTCAAAAGCAATTAAATTTACATAATAGTTCAATTTATATTGAAATATAACCTTTGTTTCAATTATAATTAAAAAATCATAAAGGTGCAAAGAAATAAACGGAAAAAACTTTCATATAATATAAGCTGTCTAAATGAACTGAATATTATTGTCGAATTAATTTCAAACATTCAAATCATAGTGATAAATTTTTCATAAGAAAAAATAAAGATTGATATTGTTTGCTAAATCATAAATATGTCAGAAGATTTTAAGCTCATCTTTTCAAAATTTCTCCACAAATGATTTCCATTTCAATGTTAGCTTATTTTAAATATTAGTAGCAATTTTTCTTATGCCATTCTATACTTATTATTAATTTCTCCAAATTAAAGATATCATTCTCATAATCACATGTATGAATCATTTCATAGATCATTCTGATTTCTAAATTTTCCTATCTCTTTGTTGTCTTATTGGTTTAAAATTTAAATTTTAATAGTTTAAAAACAATCGATTGTATATTTTTAAAGAAATACTAAAAAAATAATTAATTTATAATTACTGCTTAAGAAATTGATATTTTTTGTGAATTTTTTCTTCTAAATTAAATTATAATTTCTAGAAGATACATAATATTATTTTAAAATTGATAAATTTCCCAATAGAAATACAAAATTATCAACTAAAATGATTTGTTGAAAAAAAGTTTGAATGAAAGAATCATTTCATTCCTTTTTAATTTGCTTTCTGAAATGAAAATGTTATAATGGCTTAGTCTTATCTGACATTATACTTGTTGGATACAATAAGTATGATCAGCGCATCTTATCTGTGTTAAAGAGAGCTAAATGATAATTATCTGATTGTTTCATACGCAAAATTAACATTTGAAATAAACAGTTTAAAATCTGAATTATTTGTCCCTATAAAAAGAAATTAAATTCGTGAAATAACAATAAAACAGTGGTAAAATTTTAATTTATAAATTTTGATCTCATTCAATAGCAAAATTAAATCTTTGTCTTACCGTCTGATATCTTCTGACTTTTTCAATTACTTAGCTCATAAACTGAATAAGTAGATTAATTCTTAAAATAAGACCTGAATTGGTAAAAAGTGATTGTATTTTAAAAGAACATCATTATTTTGAAAGCATTGTTTGAGAAATAAATATATGAAAAATGCTTACAGCCAGCTTCACATCTTCAGTTCACATCGATACTTTCAAATATTTTTCATCATAAAATTAAGTATTTTCATCAAATTCATTCATTTTTCTCAACAAAACAAAAAATTATCATGGAAAGAATAAGAAAATTTCGTAAAATAATATTTGTCAAATTCATTTTTGTTGCCAAATTTTGTGACCATTAGAGAATTTCATCATTTTTCGCGAATAAATTTTGAAATATCAAATGTTTAGTCTGTAATTTGAAGGATGACTAATTGTTCGTGTTAATTACTCAATTCAATTAAATCATTTTATTAATTTTTACTATACAAAAGAAGGAATTTTTGAAACAACAAATATATACATACAATTATAAGCATTCAATTTATATATATAAAATTTTTTATATTCAAAATACAATAATTGACACCCTTGCATTACTTTTATCATTAAAGGAATACAACAATACATTCAATTGAGAATTTCAAAAAATAGTTTATTCAAACATCTGAACATAAAAATATTTGGCATAGAAGAAAATCAAAGCTCAGTTTTGAATTTGAGATGGTAGAAATTATTATATCCGAAAAAAGATAATAAGATTTTGGATAATCAATCAGAGTGAGTGTTGATTACGCAATAATGAAATTCGAAATTGGTTTAAGAGTTTTAATTTGAAGACATTGTAGAAATGGTTTTAAAATAAACAGTTATCAAGTGAGGTATTGTACTGTTATTACCAGGCATAAATAAAACTGCAAAGATTAGACTCATTAGAGTCATCGTCCTTAGTTGTAAATAATGCGCAGATGACTAACTTTTATTTCAATAATGATCGATAGTGATTCAGATACGTGAAGCTCTTGAAAACTAAGAATAAAACTCAGAATATGAATAAACATTTGTAGTATAATTCTATTTTAATGTAACGATGTAGATAATGAATTATATCCTGATGACGATTGCGATGATACACGCTCACGCCATGGGATGTATTTTTGAATGGTTGTCTTCAATAAGTTCATATCAGTAGGCTCGATAGAATCTTCGCGATAATTATCCCAAGAATCCCTCCTTGAGCTTGTACTACTGCTACATTCTTCAGCAATAGACATGGATGATAAATCAGCTTCAATTCCGATATCCCCTTCAACATTATCCCATGCTATTTCATCTTCCCACCAGTGTTCCGCAATTGTTCCGGTTAGATATTTTTGATACATAGCATCTAATCTATCGGATTGGTTTCGTGTGAAATAATTCTTCCAATCTCCACTTCCGCCCTTTCGGATGAAAATATTTTGTCGTCTAAAAATTATTAAATTTAGAGTGCTAAAAAAATAAAATGCGGGACAGTTATTAGCAAACGGAACAAAACTTGCTTCACTTTTTTAGAAAGTACGACAAACCATTCAATTACTTTTCCTATTTTGATTAATTGATGTCAAAAAGATAATGTCTCACAAGTCGTACTTCTTTTGCAGTATCAACATATTGCCAAAAAGAAGTGATCAATCAAATTGCACATGATACTTTTTTATTACATTCAATCGATCCATTTTAAATAATCAATCTTTAACACTTTTTTAACTAAATTTTTTTTTTAGAGAAAATGACCTGTTTTAAAAACAGCCATTGAACTATAGCAAATCCTTCATTTCATTTTTATCACACTAATGTAATTTATCAAAAATACGGAAATTTCCATTGTTATTTCGAATAAGTTTTCGTAAAGCATATATTTATGATAATCTAAGTATTTAGAAATTGCTTAAAGTTTAAGTCAAAAATTAATTTAAAATTTACAGGCAATTTTCTGGAAACCATCGCCATTGATCTTTTTTCATCGATTTGATCGTACTGTTTGCAACAATTTGACATAGTACAGCTTCATTTTGAACATGTTTTGCAGCCTTACCGCCCAAAAATTCACCAATCCTCACAACAGCTTGCCGTAAATCGGCGCACATGTCCTCATATTTCAAAAATAGCACATTTTCATCATTAATGTGTGGAAGCCAACTGAGCAGATAGTCAAAATAATTTCCAAATGCAATGTTTTTAGTCAGGAAAAGTTCAAAAAAAGCGGAGAAATCGCCATCCTCGTAGTTGTAGATTTTGAAGTTTCGATTGTGAAAAAAGTAGCTGAAATTTAAACTCATTAATTAAAAGTTAGAGGAAGAAAAAAAATTGAAAATATTTCATTTAGTCATCAAACACTTAAAATTGTTAAGAATCAAAAGAATCTAACCTTGTAAGACAATCTTTTGGATTTCGAACGGCAACAATATATTTGGCATTATTGTTTTTTGGCACATTATCCCATGTAAAATGCGTTTTCAACAATCTTGGTGAGTCTAAATTATCAGCAAATTTTGCACCCATTCGTTCGATCATTGGACTTGTTACGTACAATTCTGAAATTGGCCAAAAATTAGGAAATAGGCTCATATGGCTAAATAAATGAGAGAGAAATGAAAATAACATACCCTGTCCAACTTGTGGTCCATAATTATCAGTAAGTAACTGTGAACAAATATGTTGTATCCACGTGGTACCACACTTCGGATAAGTACAAACAAAAATGTCACTATCACGTGGTGTCATATTTTTTGCACTTCTGAAGACAAAAAAAATGAAACTAACAACAGCTCTTTAAATTTCTTTAAAGATTTATCAATTTTTAAGAAAATAAACTTAAAGTATGCGTCATTTCAAAAAAATTAATTTGAGATATTTAGAAAATTTTTTGCATTTTTTTCTTTTTTAAATAATACCTTAGAAATTCAGGCTTGAATATAGGTGGCCAAATTTCGTTATCGATATAAGACTGCTTAGGTTGGCCATTCAGTTGAAAAACAAATGCATTTGGGTCAGTTTCCAGGCTACAGGATGCAGAAGTTGATAAATGTTTGGCTATGGGTAAATCGATACCTTCGTTTATCAATTTACGCATTTCAAATGAAACAATAATTTCACGTTTCTATGATCACGCACTAATGATATCAGAGAGTAATAGTACTGCACTGTTAATTAGTAGTAGTAGTAGCAATAATTAATAATAGTGATAATAACAGTAGTAATGATAGCAGTATGTAAACTTGTTAGTTAAATTGTACCGGGGTTGCATGTCCTTTAAATATATTTAGAGGGGACGGAAACTCTCAGACGTTGCTTCAGGAATGTGTGCCGCCCACAAACAAACGTCCAATAACACCGCCCATCATGTAGGAACTTCTTCTAATCATCATTTAACCCACCATGTGCCCTGGCGACTTGATTCTTCCACCCACGCTAACGACAACTATGATAGTTGTTGGGAAATTTTTTGTTGATTAAAACTTCATAAACAAGCAAGGGAAGAGCGATGGAGGAAGAGTGTGATAAATGCATCGAAAGTGTTAATTAAAATATTTATTTTAATTAATTTAATCATAACAAAAAATTATTCTTAAAAACCTGAACTATTTTAATAATTTCAAATTGAAATTTTAACTGACACATCCTTAACTTAGTTCTGACTCATTTTTGACTTGTTCAAATTATATTAAAAAATTGTATATCAGCGTTATAATGTGAGAAAATTATTTGCAATAAAGTATATCTGAAGTAATAAAGGCAATAACTGCTATTTGATAAGTAATTTAAAACAAAATGTTAATAAGTAATCGGTAATGTAACATTGAGTAAATAACAATTAAGTTTAATTACTACGAATAATTATTCCTGATATATGTCACATCTTAATAAGACTAATTTTGTTGTCAGTTAAATTACTTATTTTATTTTATTTATCCATTAGTTGGGTAATTAATATTCCAACTAATTTAATTTTAACTTATCAGAATTATTTCATCGTATTTTAACATTTTAGTTGATTTACAATGAGATCCTTTCTTATCGGTTAATGCTTTTTAGCTTTTCTTCAAATCGCTCTTTTCTTTTTTTAATTCATTTTGATCATTCGAAGGATATCATTGAAATTTTTGAACAGTTTCATGAAATAAACAAAATCAATTCTGGCTTGTGTATCATTACTTTTAATGATTTATGAAATGATGAACGTTATATGAATGAAAAAAAGATGACAATATCAAACACAGTTTCTCTCTCTCTCTCTCTTTCTCTCTCTTTCTCAACATTTTACCGTAAATAATTACCTTTTAAAAATGTTACCAACTTTCGTAAATAATTGAAAATAAAACCATCAATTTCATTAAGACAAGATCGAAACAATCAAAGGAAAAATCACAAAAATGTTTCAAACAAACAATGATAATGACGATAAAACTGTAAATTACAGTTCTGATTGCTTTTAAAATTCTATTTTGGAAAGTTTGTAAAAAGGAGTTGGGCCGTTTCAAAAGAAGACAGGTAATTATTATAAGAATGAATGAAGCCAAGAAGAAACATTGAAACAGGCAGATGAGAACAGAGGATTAAATTTACGCAAATATAATCAAAATCATTGAACTTACTACTAACTTTGTCCTTCTAATTATTTCACAAAGTAATTACCTTAGCAATAACGCTAATAAATTGTAGCATATTCCATTGAAAGGTGAATAAAAATTTACCGGGAATATTCATCTTTTTTGTATTTCCAAATTTTTTTAAAAAAACATTCGAAAAATGGAAATGGTAAGTTCAGTTGTTAATATAATGTATAAGATATCTCGGTCCATTTGTTCTTGCAATTTATCACATATCATATCACCATAGAAAGCGATAAATGCGTGAGCCTAACTTTTTTAGAAAGTGCTGAGAAAATGCCAAAGAAATGTTTTATTAAAAATGCTGCAAATTTTTGAATTATTAACAATTATTCATTGGTGGAAGGGAAAGATGCTATTTAAATAGCATTATATAGCCAGCCACGTTTATAATTCTTTTCCACGTGTCATTTTTGTTATCACAAACAGAAATTTATAGTTTAATTTTTTCTAAAAATCTTTTATGCTCAAAACTGTTTTGTTGAAACATTTCTGAATTTTAAATTCTGAGAAAATTTATATTATCCGCTCTTCTGTGGAAGGATATAGTTCAAAGGTCATTTAAGGATCAAACACAAATTCTTGGATTATATGAATTTATTTGATTTTTATTCATTAGTTTATTATTAATATAGATGGCCCAGAAGGTCTTTTGTAGGAAAGCATTTATCCATAAGATTGATTTTTAAAATTTTGTTGAAACATTCATTGAGGTGTAAGATTGCACGTATGGTTGATAAGAAGATGATTGATACGATGCGAAATGTTGATGAAGAAAAAAAACAAAAATTGTAATGTAATTTTACTTTTCATTTCTGTTTGAAATTCTTCTAAAATCTCATTTTCATTTTGCGTGAAAACATCAATTTCAACCAATTCTTTATCCTATCGTATCACCAATGATATGTTATCATGGTATTTATTATATGATAGTTAATTTTTCAGAAGTATTCTATTCTTTTGTCTTTATTGTTTTTTCAAACGTCCTTTTCCCATTGTGAAATAACTCACCATGACAATATCAAATATTTTTTCATTAAAAACTGATGAATTTCATTCATAAAATTCATAATATTATAATCACTGTATCATGACAAAATTAGTGACTAATTAGTGCTTTGTACTATCATTTCGCTTATCATTAGCATCGGGATATTTAGTATGATTTTGATAAAAGTGATAATAAAATTCTGACAAATCAAAAAGACTAAAGAAAAGTTATAATAAACGAAAAAGCTGGTAATTGTGTTGTGGGAGAGGAAAAGTGAGCAAAACATATAGCAAGAAGAAGTTGAAATGTTGATAATTATATGTAACGAACTGAAAATTGTTCCGGATATCGTAAAAATTACCTGATCTTCATTTAAACTGAACGTATTTCGAGCTCATTTTTACTTTTTCAATTATCTTCTTAATTGCTATCCCTTTTTATTTAAATTATGTTTACAAACGGAAGCAAAAAGAAACGTTGTTATGTCAAACTAATGTATGAATATTTTCATTTGGTTATTGTGAAACGGTCAATATATTTCATTTCAACAAGACACTGATATAAATTTTCATAAACATAAAATTTCAAATGTCGACGTAAAATTTCACTTCCAGTATATACTGATATTCGATAAAAATTGACCAGTCAGTTGCTATGAAAAGGTCGCGATCAGTGTAAGTGAATCAATGTGACCTCGTGACTTTTATTACAATCGCTATTGTTGATATTTTAAAGTATTATCATTATTTCAAAATGATGATGTTTACCAAAAATTTAGAGAAAGTGTCACATGAAACAAAATAGGAATTCTATTGGAAACCAGTTCGAGAAAACCATATCGACCGCTGTGAATGTGAATGTGTGCCCCAATGCAAAATTAAACATGAAATTGGAATTGCTCCACCCTCATCTTCCTCGCTAGCCAAAAATGTATCTCACATTCGAACGATTATCATTATCAGTAAATAAATATGATGAGAGTAATAATTGTTAACGGTTCAGTAAATATTCATAGTATGACAGTAAGAGAAATTGGAGAAAATAAGTGGGGGGAATGCTTCGATCATTTGAGAATTTTATTAAGAATTTAGAAATGGAGCAGGTGAGAATAGATCTGAAATCGAAGTTGAGAAAATTCGATCGGATCATGCAATAGATGAGTTAAATAACGGATCAAAAACTCTTCTCTTTTAGTTTTTTTATCGTTCCGTTTCACTTCTGTTTTGCCCTCCTTTCTTTATTCCTACAACTTTTACCTTGTAAGTGACAATAACCTCAGATTACAAATTTTTTACAATTGATAATGATCTTGGATTAATTCAAAATGATTGAAAATTTCACCCAAAAAATTTATTAAAATCGAAATCATTTCAATTAGGGGATCATTTCTTCGAATTAATGCAATAACTGCAAAAAAGCAATTGCATACTGGAAGCTAATAGATAAAAACGTATTATTTGATAATTTTAATCACTGCATTATCAGGTATGTAATTAATCAGTCACCAATTATCATTTTTATAAAAAGAAGCTCATATTAAGATTGAATTCTACACGTAACTTTAATTGAATATATGTGATTCATAGCTAAATTAGTTTTTAATTTATTCATTTACCGCGAATAAAAGCATCTTAGAGTCTTTTAAAGTTTTAAGGAATGAGAGAGAGAAAATGTCACGTCACTTTTCATTACATGTTCTGAGATTTCTCTCTCTCATTGTTGCGGAATGTGAAAATAGCTTCTATAAAAATGACATCATTGTTGTCATAGTCGTACCAAAGGTCAAACCAAGAAGAATGTGAAACCATTTGTTGACAGTTTGATCTTCGGTGCAAATATGATAATGGTGATGAAAGTTCGCTCAGTCTTCAGGAAACATCTCCGCTCTTTCTTCCTTTCTTATTCCATTCATTTGTCACGTTATTGCTGTCGAGTAGTTCCAAAAACGATTTGTGATGCATTCTTCCCAGCCGTTCAATGAAATGTTTCACCAGACTGAGAAATATTTTAATCTTAGCGCTCATAGACAAACGACACTTTTCAAGCCACGTGGTTTGTTAATTCGGGAATTCTGCCAACGAATACTGAATTTTTTTTTACATTGAAAAACTCTCAATTCAAAATAAACGGGCGATACATGTGGACACGCAGACACACACACAAGAGCGCACACACACATATAAATACTTGCACACAGACGTGAGTTATCAACAAATTGATAATGGGATGTATCAGAGAGTAAATCATGTTAATAAATAGGGACAAGGACATTTAAAAATAAAACTGATACTTACAAGACCTATCATAACACCATTACTATCTTATCATAACATAAAATTGTCAAAATATTTGAATTCTTTCGAAATTCTATTTTATTTTTTATGGGTAATAATTAAATAGTGTTGCTGTTATAGTAAGACGCAAAATGTTGCAAGTATTAATTTAGATTTATTGGAAAGTGGAAAAGTCAATCAGAGTAAACGGGGATTGCATAAATTAAAGTTTATCTTAAAACCTGTTAAGTGCCAATTTGAGGATGATCAATTTATCCGTTCCGCATTGTAGTTATTGGGTCTACGGAATTAGTTGCATGTATGATATGTACCGCAAATAGCATTTTATTCAAATTTCAAGCATATTTATATTTATTCTGTAGATTACAAGGCATTGCATAAATAGCAATGATTACCGGAATAACTGCAGGTCCGGAAAATTTCTTCCAAGCTCTGATAATATGATAGGAAAATTATCAGCTTAATGTCTAATCGAATATTCAATGATAGAGGCGATATTAATGAAATTTCCGGGAATGTTAAAGCAAGAGAATGAACTTCTTGGAGCATTATAACAATTTGAAAAGATTTGATGTTTCAGAAACTTTTTAATTCTGACTAAAAAACACAATAAACTTGTTCCTTCTTCTTTTCTTCACCTTTATTGAATATATTATATTAAAATGTTGCCCAAATCTATTAAATGTATTGAACGAGGAAGCGTTTTAGCTATTTACGACGTACCATCGTACACCCACTTATTGCATCATTTTCCGTCATTCAATCATCAGGAAAAAAATTAAAATTTCAGCTGTGTCTCGCTGATCGTATTTGTATGCAAAGAAATCTTTTGCCAATCAATTGTTCAATTACTCATTCAGTCAGCCGATCAATCATTGATTTTGTTAGTTAATCAGTCATTCATTGATAACTGTATCTTTTTTATTGCTTAAGATCCCGAAGAATATTGTCTGCGGTAAAAGATTTATACATTTTACGCCTTCTGATGTAAATCTGAAGTTTTCCTTCTTATAAAATTTTTATTGCTGGCAGCAATCTATTTCAAATAATCAATCTTCGAACATTCATAGCATCCTGTGAAGACAGATCCCCAAACCACCATCGATAGAGAAAATTGGTAATCCTTAATATCTGCGAGGGAATGAAGATTTCATTTCCCACGGCGAGATAGCAACATAGAATGACTGCAACAATGCTGCTCATTGAATGCCGATTATATTTTAATGTTCTTCACAATCTGCAGAAAACACTAAGAAGGAAAAACAAAAATCAGAAACTTATAATGTTTAATATTTCCAAATCTACTTTGAAGCTTACTCAGATTATAAAATAACGAAATTATCATGAAGTTCAACATATAAATCTATCCCTCGCAGACAATATGCTTCGGAATTTCAAGCAATAGAAAGGATATAATTATAAATGAATAACTAACTAATTAAATGAATGATTGATCGACTAACTGACTGGGTAATTTAAAATTTGACTGCTAAAAAATTTGTTTACATCATATACGATTAGTGAGGAAGGATTGAAATTTTAATTTTTTTTCCTAATGATTGGATGACGAAAAATGATGCAATATGAGAATAGAATGGTGTGTCGTAAATAACGTACGATACTTCTCTGTTCAGTGCATTTAAACAACAATTGTATGTCTGGCATTAACAAATTATATTCAACAAAGGTGAAAAAGACAGAAGATATCTTCGTTGTCTATTTTAATCCATATTTAAATTTAAATTTAAATCGCGAAAATTTTGCTTCATTTTTGCTCCAAACAGATTTTAGTTTAAATGAGAAATTTTTTATGCATAATTGAAATCAATATTTGATATTCGCATTTAAGTTTCCATTACGCAAAATATAATGGCCAGGATATTTTGTAGTATTAATCTGTTAATACTTAATTTATAATTTCAATTTTAAAAGATTATTAGAGACTAATTTACAATGAACTATCGCGTAAATATTTTCTCGGAAATGTGACAACAAAATTTGCATCAAACCATTGTAAAGCAGACTGAAAGATAATGGCTATTTTTATTGATGCATTTTCACAAACTTGCTATAAACAACTTGGAAAATGAAGAAAAGTAACAACACACTTCTTGACACATAAATGCTAAAATGAAATATCAATTGCTTACCAAATTTTAACGATAAATTTTTCTTCTATAAAGAATAATCAACATATTAACTATTCTTTAAGTTAATAACTTATGCGATACTTCTTATGTTAGAATTTGGAATTGTTCAATTTTTTTTATAGAGTAAGAAAATTTAAAACGATGAAATGATTGATATATTGAATATCATTCATATGTATTAACTCGTCCCACTAAGAAATAACAATGTCTAAAAATTCCAGTTCTTCATTAGGTTTTAAATAAATTTTTTGAAAAAAGACCGAAGGAAGATTCGGCTAATGAAAGTACACATTAAGTTTGTCAAGTAAGTTAAAAAGATGGTAAATTAGAAACTGATGAATTTGAAAGATGCATAACATTGTACTTTCAGATGCATAACATTACATTATTGAATAGTAATACAAACATACATTATTTGGTATTCTTTTAATAAATTTTGAGGATAATCCCAAACTAAAAACGAAATGAATAAAAAGCTGACCTTGAAGAATAGAACTGTGATTTGCAAAATATTGGGGTCGGTGCTTAAAGACATTGGTAAGAAAATAATTAAGCTGGAAAAATGATTTTCCAAAAATATTTGAATAGCTTTTGGTAAGTAGAATTTATAAGCTTGCAATTAACACTTCATTTTGCAAATAAAAATTGGAAAACTGCTTTGAATTTAATTTCACTTCTTTTATGAATATTCCGGTTACATCACTTTTTTCTCAATTTACAATAAATGGATCGTTCATAAAAGAATGTAGAGAAATTACAACATTGCAGCATGATGCTGCTTAGACTGGACGAATGTAAAAAACAAAACAAATTTGTGAGAAAAAGTAGCCTAATGGCATAAACTTTTCAAGCACTGAGTAAAATTTTTTTACAGCTAGAATGTCAAATTACGTGAACTGATATTTCAGTTTCTCAAAAATTTACTAACTATTTTTGATTGAAATTGGTTGCTCTAATCATGATAAATCAATTTCAGAGAATAAGCTTCTTCCTGAAGATTATTTTCTGCATTCGTAACAAATAAAAGTACCTGAAAGTGGAGGGAATTTTTCGGAAAATAGTCAAAGCTTGTGAATTACCAAAAAAAAATTACCGGAAATTACAGGAAAAAGATTTAAAAATTAGTGTTTTAAAATTCATTCAGAATCTGGAGCCTGTTTTGCTGAAATTATAGGCTTTAAGGAACAAAAAATTGAAAATACGAAACAAATACCTCAGGCAATTTCACTTCATTGTTTAGCAAGAATGTGATGGAAATGTTAATTGATTTGTAGCCAGAAAGCCTGACGATATCATTTTCAATCCGGACACATTCTGGATGAGAACAAGAAATCCTAAATAAGCGTTCCACGCTGTATTGATTCCTTATAGCTAATATCTGGAAAAACAAAAATATAAAATAACTTTATCGAATACTATGTGATAAATGTTGTGCTAGAAACTAAGATCACAACAGAACTTTTTCGGAAAAAACATTTTTACCAATAGTATGGAATGGATCCTTAAACTTGCAATAATATAGCTTACAATTGTTTGATTTCCTTTACTTTGCAAATAAACTTCAAATATTTTAGTGATATTGGCTTCTTGGACATTTACTGCAATCATCCACTGATACAATAAGTGATTTGTTCGTTGATCAGTTGCCGAAATTAGCATCATACGAGAACCTTCAAAAGTCAGGATTTCATAAATTTCTTCTGATATCTTAGCTTACCTTGTATCGCAAATATTTGACAGCAATGTTTTGCACAAATCACAGTAGCTTAGAACACATTGTAAATATTTTCTGAAAGCACACTCTGAAGAAAGGAAAGCAACATATAAACGAAGTGGGAAACACCGATATTGCCTGAGGACGATCTTTCTATTCATATAGGCAAAGTGGATATTTGAGGCTACATGATTGACTCAAATTGATAAAATAACTAAACCGTTTTATGGGACAATCAATTAATGTTTTATCATTCTTTCAGTAGAGATAAAACTAAATTTGAGAAATAAATCAAAAGTTCTCTGGTAACTGAATGCTATGTAAATATTATCAAGATCATTGCAATACTCGACTGCCTTCTGTCGGATTCATAATAAACATATTCGATAGTTTTCAAAATAAAATATCTTTGTCATTCATGTGTTCATCGCAGAAATGAGAAGTTTTTGATCTTTATATATAGAAGGCATTTCCGACGAGAATTTGCATGGAAGGCATTTTTCTCGATAAGAAGAATGGACATCGTGCCTTTGATCTTTTTGCATCGAATGAATTTCTTGATGAGAAGAATAGATATCGTTTGGGGATTCAGGACTGATAAGATTATCAAAAAGATTATCAAAAATAAAGTACTGATTGACCTTGAAGAAGGACCGATAAACAGAGTAGAAAGATGTTAAGGCGCTGAGTAAAAGTTATTTCATATTTCTATACTCAAAAATACAGTAATTTATATTTTTTACTAGGGACACATCCAATTAAAGGAATTAACCTGTGATATCTGGCAAAAAATTAACTACAGCATCCAAAGTGTCATCACGTTGCGCTGCAATTGCATCTGATGGATGAATCTCAAGATTTTTTGAAGAGGTTCCAAAATGAACTAAGCCATCGTAGTTATCTTCAGTTCTAAAAGTAATTTGTAAATACGTATTTTATTTACAAATACAGAGAAAATGAAAATTCACTTCCTAATCCATTATAAACATGAATTATTTGAATAAACAGTAGAAAAAAGAGATAAAAAGAAAGAGTGAAAAATAAATTAAGATTTAAACTAAAAGCTATTAGAAAAAGAGATTCTATAGCCCTTAGTTAATTAGATGCACAAATAATTAGCAGCAATACATGAATTCTCACTTTTTCGTTTCAAAAAAGGCATCATCATTTAAATAAATGCTTCTTACGATCAAACAGAACCAAAAGATTTCTGATATCAAAAGTCCCGACTTACTTTAAAACGATGGGAACTTTGATGAGCTGTGCACGAACAGCATTCAAATTGATTTGATTCACCGCATGAATGTGTATTAACCATGCTCCCAAAACAATGCTATAGTATTGATCAGAAAAAAAGATCACTGTGAATGTTCGTAATATTGGTGCTTTACCTGTTTGACACTGTAAAAAGTTGCAAATTAATTTCATGAATGGGACAATAAAATTTGAAACGTAATGATTTCTTCTCAAAACAACTGCTACAGAATTTTTGCTTCCAAATTATCATTAAGTTATATATACCGTAAAATGTAAATCCTGAGAGCCATCGCAGTTATTTTTAAATGAGGTTAGTACAAGAGGATCTGTACAACGGATGGAAAACACACGACCTAAAATAAGCATTTTATAAAAGGTCAGCAAAATTATATGAGTTTTCCTTTTTTTCCTTTGAAAATAAAATAGGTTCAAAAATTGCTTCTATGATTACTTTTATATCCGGTAATGTGAATGATCCTGGATAGCGTTGTTTCCGCTTCGTGATAAAAACGAAATGAATTAGAAATTATGTTACGACGATTTCCGACCAATAAATCTAAGATTGCTATTGGTTCACCACCATTTTTCTTTTTAAATATTATCTGAAATTTACAGGTAAATCCATGTTTCAAAACGATTCTGGATTGTTATAATTGTACAAAATATCAAGTATTCCTTCTGGAAAAGTATGGAGCAATTACCAAGGCAGTAAACAGTGCTAAACTGCAAAAAGTAGAAATATGATAATTTCATTTTAAAAAACCCTTTAAAATCTAGGTTTTTATATTTAACTTTACGTTACTTTAACTTGATCTCTGATTTGTTCTTGAGGCAGCGTAAATCCATCGTAAATAAATGGTGCAAATATGGTTTCCATCGGTTTCAGGAAAATCTGCACTTCGGTAGTTTGTTCATTTTCTCCTGATATTTGATATAGGTCCTTTTCAAGTGGAGTTTCAATTCTGTACATATTTTTGTAATACTGCCATAAATCTACATCGAAAAGTGGTCTGTAATATTTCAACAAATTATCATGTCAAAATAGTCTGTAATAACAATATATAATTGCAATAAAATGCAGACCAATTATGGATTTGCTTCAAATCTGTCATGAATAATTTCAAAATATTGATTGGCAATTATCAATCTCTTTTGAGGAAAATAGGATATAAATTTGGATATTAGGGAGAAAAGAATGAAGATGCTGCTCAAGCTTCTTTAATTACATGAGCTCTGAATATATCAATAAAATTCAAGAAGGTGATTCCAATTAAAAATTCAGCAAGTTTACTTTAATGTGCTCTGGGCAGTGTCTACAACGATTACAACTGGGTTTGATTCCGTATTTTGAAGCATGTGCTCGAAAAATATGACTTGACCATATTTTGGATAAATTCTACAAAAAATGAATACATCGTAGTGAAATAAAATTTGATACTATTCAAACAATTTGATTTCATTTCAAGAAAAAATTGACATTTAAACATATGAGATTCCATCAAATATGATACATTATCTATCTATTAACTATTTCATATTTAAACTAGAACTTGCTGTTCTTCGAAAAACGTTTCAGTATGCTAATTCAAACCGATATTCTGTAGTTATTGCTTTGAAAACAACTTTTAGTAGCTTCGATGCCTTATCTTCATCACGCAATTTTTTATAGGCTTCCAATTCTTGCTGAAACAGATACCGCTTCATTGATCCCTGCAATATTTCTTGTTCTACGAAATAATATTGAACGATGTTGACTTAACTGCAGTTTAAAAGAGTAAGTTTGAAAATCGTTTCGATTTTTTGATTTTTTAACAAATTATACATTACTCTTTTAAGCTTACAATGAAAAATAGTTTATAAATGTTAGATAATAGTAGGCAATTAGGTTAGCATTGTTCAGAAATCTTTAATAAGCGAGTTATCGATTCCTTAAAAAATCAGTAGTTTATACTTTTACCGTGAGCGGCTTTATCACTGAATTCTGGTTTTTTGCCCCCAGTGGTGTACCGCCCATAATTTCATTGTAACGCTGATTTATGTCCAATCTCAAAAAATTTAATTGAAAATAATCATAGATTATTAAAAAAGAATTCTTTAAATTAGTTTTTATTTCTGAAGATTTTCACTTTTACCAATAAAAATTAAGCATTCATAAGCTCGATAGTGGGAAAGTTGATGATAACAGTTCGTAGGGATTCAATGTTTCTATAATAAATGTGGTAAGTACAGAAATCAAGCACTGTTGTAAATCGAATTTTTTACCTTTGAGCAGCCAAGAAATGTTGCAGAGAATTTTCGTGGATTGGATTCAATGGTTTAGCTCTAATCTTGTACGATTCATTTTCATCTTGACCAATTCGAGTTAATTGTCGACTTACCACTGTGCTCATTCGATTTCGCATTGAATCTAACTTGGACAATGAAGTTAGTAAAGCCAAAGAAACAAGTTTTCCTTGTCAACCAAATATAAACTTTAACAAATATATTTTAATACTTGAAAATGGAAAAAGCTGTTAGCTTTCTTACACATTAAAGCGAAGCTCATCGCAATGCAAACGCATTTTGCCTACCAGATAAATTGAATTTTTTTCAATTTTTTTGCGCTGATATACCAATGGTGCAGGCCTTTAAAAGCCTAATTTAAATAATGCAAAAGCTTCAATGTCATCAACCGGATACCAGTAGTCATGAAGATACAAGAAATGAATGAATGGATGATGTTTATCTATATTCATTACAAATTTTTCTTTCTCATAATCGACAATTTTGAATCGTAGATATCGAGTTATCTATTTATTCCTTACTATGAAGCAGTTATCATACCTATCTGTTTAAAACATGGATAGCCAATACTGGTTAATCGAAGTAATACTTGACATGTTATAATGGATGGATCGAGAAAATTGCTGAGCATTACTACACTTTGTATATCGGCCTGTACTGCCTCCGATCCATGTCTCAGCAAGAACTGTAAAAAAATTCCTTAAATTTTTACTAGTTAGAAATCCTTAAATTACATTTGTCTCATCCAAAAGTTTCATAAGGAACCGTATTTTCTAAAAACGTATATTAAGGATAATTTTTTCAGCTCTTAAAAAAAAATGTTTTTTTTTTCATTCAGTATTTTAATTGATTATTGAACAAAATGACAATATCTTAAATACTTTGAGTAAACTAACTTTTAGCGAAATATACAACTTGCCAAGAGGTAACAGAGAATCAGCATTCCATACATCAACAATCGCATAGCCATTTGAAAGATAATTGATAAAATCTTCTTTGTCTCCATCTGGAAGTGAGTTCCCATCGACCATATATCTTACCTAAATTTTCAAATAATAATAACATTTTGAGATTCATGAATTATTCTCGAATTTTTATAAGGAAAAATAATTGTTAACAGTGAAGCCATTGCAGTCTTCTACAGAGATCTCTTCAATATTTCCTCTGCGCTTCAAAACAAAGAACTGTTCGTGGTGAGTTGTTTTTGCTAACCATAGCCTGTAAATTATGATTTATAATTATTTGAAATGGTAATATTCCTCATATTTTAATTTATGCATGAAATGAATTATGTGAGTTACATTTGTCGTGAATTTTTAATTTATAAATTTTGATGAAAAATTATATAACAAACCTTTCAGTTGTAACTGTGTGGAAGCGATAAAATTCCATCGTAAAGAATACTGCACTTGGTATATTGATGGAACCAACATCTCCTCCACTAAAACATTCGAAAAATTTAATATAGCCATGTAAAAAAATGAGTTGGCTAACTTTAATTGGATATTTTACCACTAACGGTCCAATAATTAAGTTATTATTAACAAGAACCTGATTTGAATGGCCATAAACTGCATGACGATTTCATTCGTATTTAATTTATCATTCAGTTCAATATTAATGTCTGGAGTCTACAATAAAAGTTAATGGAATCTTTCACACATTGCAATATTATTATCATATGAATTATTGTTCCCCCAGGAAGAATGCTGTTTTACCTGTAGATTAAGCATCACTATCTCGTTAAAAATAAATTTAAAATTTTTGAAAATTTAATGAAAACTTTTAGTGAAACTTTCAATGATAAAAATTTAATAAATATACCGGAAAGTTCTCAATGTCCACAAGTTTCGGTTTGTTTCCATTGCGATCTTTTATAGGAGTGAATGAAATGTCAGCGAGGACAGCAAGAGATGAACGAGGTATATTTGATATCCTAAAAGATATCACAATAACAGTTTTAAAAGTTTATGTAAAATTGTAATAAAAAGATACAAGTGAAAAAAAGACCAATAATCTTACCTCGCTAATGGTGAACCATAAATTTTCACGCTCGTACAAGTGTCATATTTTCGCTCTTCACTGGAAGAAATTTTTTCACCAAAATTTTCTTCCTAAAATACATACAATTTGATCAGCATTATTCAATATATTAATAATGCTGTGCAACGTATAGGTGCACACAAATGGATAATACACTTTGCAGCTGCTGCGAGCAAAAGTGTGCCATATTAAATACTCAGACTATTTTAAGATTACCAAAAAGTTACCGATGATAAAAGCAATGATGACTTCATTCCGTACCTGAAATAAGTGAATGAATCATTTAGTGAGCTGAATTTTTCAAGTTAATTAATATCAGTTATCTATTTTCATTTCGAAAGAGTAAAATCACATTTTTTTAGCAGGCTACAGGCTCAGACATGGTAATGCAAAAAAGAACATAATGCAAACCTATTTCCGAGCATTTTTTCGGGATTTTGAGCAGTTTCAGTTGAATTAAGTTGAAGTCCAACAGTTTCCATATTTGGTCTTTTCCAGTCTTGTGTCTGAGACTCATTGTTGATGCATGTTGAAGTATTTAACAGGTACTCAATCTAGAACATTGTTTCAGTTAAAGAAACTGTTACAATGTCTACTGGAAATAAGTGATTCATCGCACAATTAAAAAAATTATACATTCAAACAGTTAGCGTTTAATAATCAAAAATCTGGTGCGTGATAGTAATTCAAATGATCAACTTACACTATTATGCGAAATTAAAAATGGGCAAGGATAGGTTGAATATTAAAATTGTACACGCTCTTTTAACTCTAGAAATTACCGCGCTGGGTTAAAATACAATAATATAGCAATTAAAAAAAAGAAATACAAAATAATTACTACGAATTCCAACCTCTCCAAGTCCTGAACATATAAATGTAATTTTAATTCTTGGAAACTGATCACAAAAGGACAAATCAGAGCGAAAAGCAAATAAGCTTCTGAATGCTAAACGTTCATCTGGATTGACGTATGGTCCTAAACAGATGATACTTGTTCAAGTTCTTTTATAAAGAGGAAGACAATTCTTTGGCTAGAAAAAGATAAATGAGAATCAATATTTTGTATGGAAGTAAGAAAAGATACTTATACCTTAAGTATGATAAATGTAATGAATATGTTATAAAAAATGAAAGTGCAAAATAATAAAATTGAAAAAAAAATACCTCCGAGTAAAGGGATAGTAATCTCACCATTCGGTATGATATCTACAGCAAAAGGACACCAAGCACCCCAACAGATCATCACTGACTGTGATGAATGTACTGTCCTCTGGAATGAAATTTGAAGATGACTAATGAAGTGAACTGGTAAGTTATCGCTGGTAATTTACCAGTGAAATGGATTACCAAAGTTCATATATTAATTTCAATAAAAATACTAACATCACACGAATGAACTCCGACAAGATAATCCAGTGAAAAGACAACAGCGAAACGAGGATCTGTAATCATTCTATTTAAGATTACACTTCCATTCATGCACAGACTTTGCGACTGTAATCTGAAAATTTGATAATTTCATATAAATTAAAATTATTACGTGTAACTCAAAATTCTACAGAAATTTGTATTAAATTTGATTTGATATACCGTCTCATTTCCAAGGTGCTGCAAATTTGATTTTCGGATGAAGTAAGATGTAGACATTGCGGTTTCTCCACATAGCATAAACCGTTATGCATCCCAATCTAAATTAGTTTCGAAGTTTCAAAAATTAAAAAGTTTTGAAAGGAAGCAGTTCAAATTATTTTATCTCCCGTGCTTTAAGATGCTGACTTAAAAATTAATCGCATTTTAGAAAAAAACTATCATCTCTAGCACTAAACTAGCATTAGGAAATCCTGGAAAAAAGAAAACGCAAAATGTACTGTAATTCTTCTTTCTAAAACTTCCATCATCTTAATATTAATATCTGCAGGTGATCTGTTTGCTCGATAAAGCCTGTCATTGTTCATTAAATGAAGTAGAACTTGTTCAAATTTGTAGACATCCATGCCGAATGAAACATTTATTTTTCTTAAAATGGATGTTCGACTTTTCAACGCTTCCGGATGAATGGCCTGAGATTTACCTAAATATTTCCATTATTACGACTGCTTTTTCATAAATTTAAATCCAGTAAAGAATGAGGAATTCCATAAGTACAGAAAGTAAAAGTTCACATTAAATACCATTCTAAATCTAACTTCTTCGTAACCCAGGAATATCTTCCCATTGATCAAATATGTACCAATCAGGAATATAGTCCAATACATTATACATTTCTTGATGTGTTTGCAAACAAATTTCTACACCGATATTTATCTTTCCGAGAAGATCTGTCATTTCCACCTCAGAATCCATAAAAAACAACGCTTTCGGAGATCCCGGGTATAGTGGAAGTCTAGAATAAGACTTGTGTACAAACATGTAGTTAGCTAATCAAGTTTGAAAGCATTTAGCTGCAACAATAAAAATGATGCAATGAGGAAATGATCAAACCAATATTGCAACGAAGTAATGGACGATTCAGAAATAATTTGGTTGTAAAATAAAATTTTTGAGTAAAATATTTATAACACCTGCGGAAGGCAGTCGAATTTTCGGTGCTTTCCAATGATAGTGAAGTCCATCCTGCTGTATATAAACGACTACAATTTTGTCCTCTCTGCTCTCCCTCAACCACTTCCAGAATAATATCGATATTATCGGTAAAGGAACACCAGAAGAAGATTACCTGTAGCTTTTTAGCATATTATCAAATATTCCATAAGTGTTGGCAGATAAATGCAGAAAATTCAACATCAATAGCATTTTGAGTGATAAATTATTTCCTGAATTTTATAACTAAATCGAAGATTTGCGGATATAGTTGAATGATTTAGATGTTGTAAATAAATGAGAAAGAAATTCTGATATATACACATCAATGAATATTAGCAACCTCAGTAAAAGGGACAAAATCAGAAGTGGGACGGCACCATCTACCACAAAACGGTTTCCCGAAGTAATATTTTTGCCGTTTATCATAGAAATATGCATGAATGCGATATAACATATCCATTTTTAACTGAAAAACAAGGACGAAGTTCTGCAAATAGATGGAAATTTTTGATGATACTTTCCCCGATACATTTCATTATCTTCCCTGCTATTTTGAATAGATCCTTCCAGTATTTACAAAAGGATTATTACACTAGGCAATCGTGCATTTCGTAACGATAACGCGTAGCATTCCGGTTTATTACATCCGTCAAGCTGTACACGTCGTGGCGGTACACGCCGACATATTTGTACTTTTTGATACCATTCGTTAGTATTACTAATTTGCGACTTATCTTCAAACATAACTGAAATTTTTTCAACATTTCAATTTTAACCTTGAAATGAAATATATGTTTTCGCAAACGATTTGTAAAATTACGTGGAAAAATAAAAAACAAGAAGCTAAATCATAATTTCTCCCTCGCGAGAAAGAAATTAAGACTGAGAAAAAGCAAAGAAATAATAATTGTCAAGTGTAGATATAAAGGAAGTAGTAATTAATTGCTGTAGAAAGGATAAAAATATAATCTAATAATTGAAACTAACCTTCAAAACTTGTCTAACAAATTCATCGTATCTTTCGGTATCCATAGTAACTCCAATGCTACAAAATTCCAATTTTCAAAAGTGGCGCCTCTGTCTTGCTTCCTATAACAACAAATGCGATACGCAGAACGCTCATCGCTTACAGTATGTTCATTGATCGGTGAATTGTTGGCTTTTCGTACGCTTTTTTTGCCCTGTTGGTTGGGATTTATTTATAGGTTTTGTGAAGTCTAAGAGTTATTGGTGATGTATTGATTAGCTTATTGGTAATTTTTAAATATTCAAATATTAGTTCAATGTGATGAAGAGAATAGTATAAGGTACCTTCAGAAAGTATTCATATCATTCTGTCATTTGTCTGCTCTTTCCTTGGTGTCTCATTAAATTGTATATGTCATGTCTGATTGTTTATCTGTAGAAGGCAGTGATTCCAAAAAGGTATTTACGCTACTGAAATAAATACTATCACCGTGTAATTCCTTTAATTCGTAACGTTCATTTCTTTTAAATTCAGTGAAGAAAAGGAAATATAGTAGAGATATAAGTAACCAATTAATTTTTGTTCCTTCATTTCTCGTAATTTCTTTTTTAAATTGATTTGTATTAGTAGCAATGAAAACATTTTTTTAAAAGAATTCAATAGTTTCGTGTACATTTTTTTTTCACTGACTGTTACTTACAAATGTGAAGTCATGCGTTAGCAGTTTTGATTATGTCATAGAACTGCTAAATTGCCGGTGGAGAATTCTTAATTAGTGCACCATTTTCACCTCCTTTACTAAAAAACCATTTCTGAAAGATAGGTCATTTCATGAATTCATAAATTATGTCGGTGAAATGTTCGCCTTATAAGTTGTATCTCCCGTGTCCAAAGCGGTGGGTTTGTTCACTTTTTCTGCTACGTGTTATCTGTTTTTCTACCGTGTACAGTTATACTTATTTTTTAGAAGTTTAGTCTGCTTCTATTTTTTTGCTCGGTTATTCACATTTGTTTTACAAGAATTCTGCTATCTTTTTTATGGAGAAACCTTGTTGGATGCCACAATAACCTAATAGTTGAGTGTTAATTTTTTATTGTCATAGATAATGATGATCAAAAACAGCATGATGACGCTAGCTCCTAAACCATCTTCAAAAAACTCTGCTGAGCATTCGCAGCGAAAAACTAATTTAAACTCATCTGTCAGCGAGATAAAGGATGTGAAGGAAGAACAGGTAATCGTGGATGATGTCGGGACAAAGATAAAGCTAAGCAGTTTTGGACAAAGAAGGTAAAATTGATAACATTTACATATCCTTAAATTCTTTGAGTTCTGCATTGCGTTTTCAATTACTCTAAATGATTTCTTTTTGTTTCAGACTGTTCTCATCGATTAATATATCAGCAGATAAATGGCTTCTTACACTAGATGAACATTCAGTGGCTAAGTTGGGGAATCCTCCTTCTTTAGTTGATGGATTAGATCGGAAAACCGAATTGGTATGTAAATTGCTGCTAGTATTTTTGGCTGTTGCATGAATTTATAGCTAATTTATTCTGTCTGTTGTTACGCACTAGAAGTATTGTTTCCTTTTCTAGGATTTGCGATATCTTGGTTGTGAAATAATTCAGTCAGGTGCGATACTGCTTCGTATACCTCAGGTTGCAGCAGCGACAGCACAAATTCTTTACCAGCGATTTTATTATCAAAGGTCATTTGTTCGACATCATTTCGAAGTATGTTTTGATCCCTTTCTTCACTGTTTTTAAATCATTCAACAGTACAAAACAAACGAAAGTTTTTATGTATGTTCAATATGGAGAGATAGTTTTCATATTGGTTTGAAGGTTGGCATTATTTTCTGATAATAAGGTTTTGTTATCAAGGAGAAATTCGCGTTTTCCCTTGCTAAATGCAACTTTGATTAATCCAACGATATGCGCTCCCTCTAATTATCTTTACCGGCAAGATCACTGTGAATGCAACTAACAGTTTTTTGCTTTAAGTATTAGTTTCATCTAGTTCGTAGCATCAGTTTTAGCTGTTTAGGCCATTTAATCTCGAGCTATTGTATTGCTACCAACTGGTATGGACATCTGTTATCGAAGCATTAAATTTTTTACAGTGTTATGCATTGTAGTAATATTGTGTAAAGTGTTAGTATTATTTTGAATGAAGAGGGTGAGTTGCATATTTTCGTGGAACACGTTTTTGTTTGCTTTCAGATGTAAGACCAGAACAGCATCCTGCTATAGTTATTTGATTTTTTTATAACTTCTTTACGATCTGCTTTATTTCAGTCGTAGTAATGATAAAAAGTTTAGTATACGGTAATGGCATGCCTTTTATTAGCGAGCAAGATTGAGGAGGCGCCACGTCGGCCACGTGATGTCATCAATGTGTTCCATCGTTTGGAACATTTACATGGCAAAAGAACTGAATCCAAAAAGTAAGTTTAATTCTAATTCATTACTTATAAAATATACATGGCCATACAGGATTTACGCGTGTAAGAGAGGGAACGATAGGACATGCAATGGACATTATTGACACAAAGGATGGTACTTTTGAGGTTATTTAAAGTTCCCTCAGCTTTATTTCTGAAATACGTCGGCTTCTATTAGTCGGCAGCAAGTTCGTGTTTTTGTTGTTCTGTAGGCATCGTCATGTTTGCACATTCAAATCGCTGTTTCATGTGACCTTCGTTTGTTTTCTTTTTTGCAAAAAGGAAAGAAATAAGTAAAAACTGATTTTATCGATTTGGATGTTCTTTTGCATGTTGAAGCAAAATTTCGTTTTGACTTTTATTTCAGGCGGCGGTTTTTTCGTCGTTCTGAAACTTATATCTTTAGATACTTGTGTTCTAATGTTGAGACTTGTTGAGGCATAGCACGATTTAGACCGTGTTCAATTAAGATTTATCATCTTTTTAAGCCTGTTATAATAGATGTGTATGAGCTCATGACTTTGAATATGATGTGGTGATTGTTATTAGGAGGAAAATTTTTTAAAAAGAATTAAATATTTTTCCCGAAACACGGGATATTACTAGAATCAAACTGCCAATTAAGAGGGGAATACTTGTTTTTTTTTTTTTTTATCAACTTTGTCTCTGCTAAAAAGTCGTTTCTTGATTTTGACTTATTACGTTCACTTTTTCGGTATAATATAATAAGTCAGGAAGTTGGAAGTAATGGGTTTCAGTGATTCAAATAGTGTCTTAATCGTATATTAAACGGATACTATGTATTACTGTTTTATGCCATCCATTTCTTATCCCAAAGGAAGAAAGAGGAAAGGGATATGCAATTAGTCATTCCCAGATGTTTTTTTGAATTTTTTTTCAATGAAAAAACCAGATTTAACGGTGGGTTACTGTAAAATTATGAAATATATTTGATCATATTTTTAATCACTCCAGGTGACACAGAGCTGGCAGAGCGGATACACGTATGGCAGTAAAAAATGCGTGTGCCCCCACTCTCTTGTACGGTCACCACTTCCATCCATTCTACAGAGATGAATGAAGCACATTTGGAGCTCTCTTCAAGTTGGATTTCGTCTTTTACTGATTCTCTGTGTGTGTTATCAAAGACTACCTATCAATATGGAGTCGGCATATATGCACACTGTATCGATACTGTCGTTATACGCGTGCAGCTCGCTGCACGTTGATGGCACACGGAATGGACGATGCTACAAGCAACTGCTGCCTTCCTAATCAAGTTATTTTCAGTAAACCATGGTAACAGCTACTGCTTATTTTTATTTGCAGTTGCGAAATATTTCAATTTTTTCTTCGTAATTAAAAAATTTTTGAACATCGTAAATTAACAAGCATTATTAGGCCCTGAACTGCGAAGGTCTGGGCGTGAGTTGGACTGTTTCGTGTCAATGTAGAGTCTTACAAATGGGAAACTTTGCTAGCTTTGCTTCCGTCCGCTTTCCTGCTTGATTACAGGCTAACAGCATGAATTTTTTCGTGTATCCCCCGGAAAGTATAAGGTATGTTTTTGCTTTTCCCGGAAACCTCATTTTCATTGCATCTATCTGGGAAATTTCGCGTTAGTTTATATAATTCCTCTGTAGATTATTACATTCTTATCAATAAATTCTGGCCGTGGCTATCCATTTATCGAAAATCACAGCAATGTGTTTATTCCTTCTTTCGAAAAGAAAGGTTTGCTTTTCTGTATTCTGCTGTCGGATGTCAAGAGTTGGCAGAAAAGTACTGACAATACTTTTGTTGTTTTTTTATTTGGTTCAATTATTCTTGCGTTGCTTCTAATCAAACATTAAAGCTAAATTGGGAAAGGCTCCGGATTCCCGTAGATTCTGGTAATGTTCATTTGGTGATAAAAAAAAATTTTTTTGCATATTGGTTGATTTATCGCAACACTATTGGGCTGGAGCGGTTGAACTTTTCTCTATACACACAGGTAAGTTAATTTAATACCAATTGCTTGATTGCATTTGGGAAAGAGATATATAGAAATTCATTAAATGGTAATTGCGGGTGAAAGCTAATTCTCTCACATCTAGGGTAAAAGGAATTCATCTTCAAGCTATCATTAATGGTTAGACGTCAAATGTGTTTAGATATATTAGGCTGAGAGAACCGGTAGGCACATTACTACTGTGAGATGATTTCATAATTCAATCTCTTGGTTATACTCTCGCTTTATCTTTAAAATTTCCAAATTTTATTGGAAAAGTCTTTAAAATAGCATGCAACCTTGCTTGTGGATGCATTTTTTTAATTCAGTTGAAATATTCATTCATGTTTTAGTGCTTTAAAGATATGTGGTCTGGTCGTTCATTTTGTGTGGATTTCATTGTGCCGCATTTGTTATTGCTGATTGCTTAGTGAACAATGAAGGTAAGGATGAAAGTACCATTCAGCATTTAGTTCACTGATTTGCCAGATCCTTCCTTGTTTTTAAATGTTGTTGGATTGGACACATTACTTATTAGACTATAATGGTTGACGGTATGACAGAATCATGTCAATGTTGTTTTGAAACTGCAGCATACTTGAGCTAGTTTTTCCTATTTGATTAAAGGTCATGTTATGTAAAAGAATTTGGTTGTTATCATCCATTGTTGCGGGTTTGCATCATTAATGGGAAAGACGGAGTTTTGTTGGTTAAACCATCTTATAGCTATTTTAATGATTTTTGGTTGGTAGTTCTTATAACTATAGGTGAATATTACACATTCCGAAGCTTTCCCAGCATTGGAGACCGTTCAGTTTTTGCTCTTTAGAAGAGGAAGAAAAATATATTTGCAGATGATATAATTGCGTAAATGTTCTTTCATCCTTCCTGTCATTTGTTTTCTAGCATTAGTACAAATTTTGTTTGAAGTAGAATAATTTTCACATTCTGACAAATCATAAATCCTATCTAACGCATTATATTTCTTTGTTATAACGGAATTGTCTTTCGTGCATAGTGGTTTTTCAACATTTTCCATTTTTAATACTCTTCATGCCACACTCAACACACTTATTTACACTTTTAAAGTCACTCACCGCAGACATTTTCAAAACATCTTTCAATTACTGTTTTTCTTTTTATCACTCCATGCGTAGTCAGCGGGCGGATTATATGGTGATGATTTTTAGCATCATCAATAACGATAAATTGTGAATGTGAGTCAATGTACAGTTTATGTAACTCTCAGCACATCTTGCGATTAACATATATAGTTGTGATTCTCTTCCTAGACATATCGTGCTGTCCTTCCTTTTTTTGATCTATTTTGGAAGTCGCTTGTGCTTGTTCAAACTACTTTTAGTTGGTTATTTTTGCGTATGTTTCAAATTCTGCCAACTCTTGACAATGTACAAACAGCAGATAAGATTCTATCAACATTCCAAAATTGCAAATATGGACTAATATGACATAATTGTGTAGGAAGCAGTGGTTTACTGAAGATTATTTGAGAAAGGAGAAGGTCAGTTGCTTGTTCATATTGTTCAGTTTTCAGAATTGTATCGAAAAGATCTGTGGTGCCTTTAAATTATTTACTTATTTGGGGTGGTGTAGGCATTACTGACGATGCTTACAGACGCTCAAACATAGCACTGAGATGTTCAACATACAATTGCCGTTCATAGGAATGCACTAGGCGTTGGAGTGAGTGTTTGGATTACTGCTTATTTATAGGTATGTTCCAATGCTTTTGGATCGAAGCTATGTAGATTTGAAGAATCAAGTAATAAAAGCGGAGCGGAAGCTGTTGAATGCGCTTGGTTTTGTAGTGCATGTCAATCATCCACATAAACTTATATACGCATATCTTCATGCACTGGGCGCTACTGGCAACCATGAATTGATGCAAAAAGCATGGTAAATATTACAGTTATTTATGTAGCATTCAAAAAGCAATTGGACGTGGTCTTTTTTATGAATTATTTGTAGATTTGTTTTTAAGGAAGATTACAGATTTACGATGCTCAGAAAGCTGACCTTAATGTTGGAAGTAAGGCAGTTTTAAAAAACTAGACCCTTTACCCTTCTTCTCTCAATAATTTTCCCTCTCAAATTGATTTTCCTGTTATACATTTTCTAACTTCCAGATAATTGCCGATTCGTTTTTTTGCGTTGTCTGCATCAATTTGTAAATTTTAGGAGCTATATGAATGATGGATTACGTACAGACATATTTCTCAGGTATCAGCCAGAAACAATTGCATGCGCTTGCATTCATCTTGCAGCAAGAACTATAGCAGTAAGTATATCGGATCTTTTCATTTTCAATATGATGTCTCATATTTGCTTCTTTTAATTAAGAATTCAACATTTCCAGGAACCCTTGCCGCTTCCGCGCGAACCCTTCCCTTGGTTTGAAGCATTTGATGCAAGTGATAGGGATGTACAGACGATCTCTCTTTTGCTGCTGCAAGTTTATACGCGAATACGAGTAAGCAATGGCTCATTGTACATTTCTCTGAAGATTTTTTAAAATGTTTTCCTTATTATTGCAATTGGTTTTTCATCATTTTTTTGAGCACTTGAGTTTACTGAAGTCCTATGATTTCAGGCTCCAAACTGGACACGGTTGAATGATACACTGAACAAACTACGAATTGGTCTCAGCAATGCACTTGCAAAAGTTCAGCAAGCGGAAAGCATGGCTAATAAAGAAGTTGAACGAGCAAAAGCTATTTTGGAGAAAAGACGTCGCGAAATCGCTAACAAAGCTGCTGAAATGGAGCGGCAGAATGGTGCTAGAAATAAGGCAAGAGAAGGTTGGTGCGATGCTTTTTTTAAAATATGGTTTACATCTTTTGAAAATATTGTACTGCATATATTGAGTCTTTTGAGGCTGTCTTCTGGCTGCGTTTGATCTTTTATGTGTTTAATCCAATTGCAGCTTTTTGTACTCCTAATTTTGACAGTTTTTAGGAAGTGGGAAGGAAAAAGAAGTTCAGCGTGATAGGGAAAAAGAAAATGACCATTATAATGCTAAACAGACATCGTCTTCCACATCACGTTCACGCTCAAAGTCACCAGTTGAACCAAAGAAGTGAGTCATTTTACTGAGAAAATTATTCATAGAAAATTTAACATATGAAAGAGAGTTTGGGCAATATTTATCATTTTCAATTTTCAGATTCCGTACCTCACCTCTCTATTATCACCATCGGGGTGAGTCGGCGGAACGTGATCGGCCATCAAAGCGTAACCATCATCATTCAAGGCATCAGAGAGATGAAAGACGACGAGCCAGGGAAGAACGGCGGGCAGAAAAAGACCGACGTCGTCGGACCAGAAGTCGAGATGGTCGACGGAAGGTTGTTGAGAAGGTTGATTGATGTTATTTTTGATGTGACTTATAGAAAGCTTGCTTTTGAAAATACTGTTATATAAATGCTGCAATTTTTAAAAGCTTTCGGTACGATCTTAACTTTTGATAAGTTTGCAAAGTTAACCAAAGTTAACTTGAATGAATGAATAAACAAAAGGATTCCAAAATGGAATTAGACGTCATTCTCATAATATTTTTATAAAGCAAAGTAAGTACGTTATTTTGAAGTTTTATATATATATATATATATATATATAACTATATTGATAAGTGGAAGAAACAGTGCAATTGCGTTTTTCTTTAAAAAATTTTTTTTGTTCTTTGATTGAAATTTTTTAAAGATTTTATTTTTCAGGACCGAGTAAGCAATCAGCGTGAACGTGAAAAGGATGTTTATTTGGCCTTAGGCAAGAGAAGGAGGAGTAGTGAAAGCCCTTCGCCCGTTAAAGTGCGGCGTTAGGGACGAATTATACATGTAATTATAGGGATTGTTTTGCGCGATATCTATTGAATAAAAAACCTCATCATCTTTGTTTTCAGTTTTAGAAATTGAAGCAAAAACAGGAACAGATATGCTTCTGAGAATTTTGAAATTGTTCGATTTAAATGAAATCATATAATCAAGTTTTATTTTGTGATGGATGAATTTAAATTTTCCAATACTTGCTCTCTCGTAGGTTCTTATGTTGTTACGTTTGTTTTGATTTTGAACATTAATTTCTTATTCATAAATTTAGGTATTACATCGTTCTCTGCCTAATCTGCTGTTTTGAACCTCTTTTTTGGTATCGAATTTAAAAGGGATTTTTTCGTTGGAACAATAAAACGAAATGATTTTTTTCAACCGTAATTTGAACGTGAAGGAGTAATTCAGCTTTAATTTTCGAGGTAACTCAGAATTTAGAAATTTAACTTTTCCTAGATTCAATCGTATTTGTTGCTCGTTTTGCTTGAATAGAACGGGTAAATGTAATGTTTTTCTTGTCCCTTTGTACATAATATGTTGATCCTCAAGTGACTTTTCATTTTCATTATTGTTGTGCTGGTAAATTTCTATGTCTATAAATTTAATTTTAATTTTACATGAACATCGCATCATTGAAATTGCGTGTTTATGAATTCATGAATGTGAGATGGTTGGCTGGTGGATTAATTTGATCCAGAGATATGAACATTATAAGGCGTCTGAAATGCATTTATAAATCTATGGAGATCTACCGCATTGAAATTGATGAAACCCTCACCAAATACTCAGGTATTTGGTGAGGGTTTCATCAATTTCAATGCGGTAGATATCATGAGGCTGTCGGAAGTTCATATTTGGTTGCATTTCCGGATGTTATTCATTGCGTAAAAGCATCGAGTATTTTGAACACTATCTACAGAATTTTTGAAAAAAATTTGAACAAAACATGGATGCTGATTCTAAAACTTACTTTCATTGTTGAATATCAAAATAATGGTGGAACAACTTACCAGCAATTTGTTAATGAAACAATGAAAACAAATTTCTCCGGAAGTTTTACCATCGCTATGAAATCATTATTTTTTAAGATGTTATTGAAATTACATTTGAGCAAGATATCTTTCTGCCAGTCTTATTTTACTTGCATTAAAATCACTACCTTTGATATTAGGAATAACTTCCAGCTGTCTGATATTATCAAATTTTACGAATAATTTCCAAGTTATCTAGCTCCTGAATTCGCAGCTACCTATGATAGCATACACCACTGGCACTTTCGCGCAATTTGAACAATTTTGTAACTCTTGAGTAGATGCTCTAATTCATTCGACTTCAGTACATTTTTGCATATGTAATCAAGTTGGATAAGCTCATACTTGAAACAGTTGAAATTTACAACACTGAAGGTGAGGCTTACAAAAACTGTTGAGCAGCAATTAGGAAAAAATAGAACATCAATAAATTACTACTGATGAAATGAATCATCATGGCATAATCATTTCGCCACAATCACAAGATCCACTTTCATGGCTTCGGACGTTCTTTCGAAACAAATTTCACCTGTAAATAAACGTATTATCCATTAAAATTTTCGTGCCATCTTTTACTCTAAACTTCTTTGATATAAAATCGACATGGAATGTTACATAAAATATCATGTAGTACAAGCTGAGCCAATGAAACTAGCTTGCCATACAATTCAAAAAAAATGACATAATCCTATTCTTTGGAAAGTAAAATTACCACTTCGAAATGCATTCGTACTTATTTAAAGACAAATGATTTTAAAAACTACAGCATAAAGAACTACGACTGATAGAAAAAAATTATCAACTTTTGTTATATGGAAAGAAATCATGCATGAATCTTAATGATTTTTCTCTTGAGGTTTAACCTGTTGATAAGAGTTGTAAGAGTAATCAAAAAAGAGCTCCTCGCCAGCTACAATTGGCCTTCGTGCAAAAATACCTATACGATGATCTCCATTAACCATGAATACCTGGAAATTAACGGCCTTATTTATAATTACCTAAATGATTTGTTTAAAACCTAAGAACTAATAACACTTTTCATCTTATTGTAGCAATCTGGTTGAAAAATAACTCTTAAATAAAAAGCGAACTTACTTTTGCCATGCAATTTGGATCCTTTGAGTGATTTGCAAATCGAATAACATTGCCCTTTCTGGTGGCATCTACTACCATTTCATCATTTAAACCTAACAAAATTCAATAATATGACCAGAATTTCATGTGTTTTAGCAGCTCTTTTAAACGTACTAAAACTCCGCTAAATAAATGCAAATTAAACATTACTCTTGCTTCCAAAATAATACAGGCATACTAAATTTTGACCAATTATTATATATCATCAAAGCATACCAAAAAGATAACTGCACTTCAATTTATCGTATATTTTGCCTCTCCTTTCGCTCTCATCATGACTTATAACTTCACCACAATATTCTGATATGAAATCGTTTTTTTCAATATCTTCTTCTGCAAAACAACCCCAACCAGCAACCTGAAATACAGCAACTTTTTTATGCAGATTTTAGTTCAATAGAAATATTATACTTATAAACAATGATGTTGTAAAAATATGATGGGAAAGATGTTAAATTAGGCACCTGTGAAGGAGCAATAACTAATTTCTTCTGTAAACCACGCTGCATAGCTACATTTTTGCATGTTGCAACATTAGGATCATCCAAAACATCTGAAAAAATTTGAATGAAATTGGAAATAACTTCAGTATGAATTCAAGAAATTAAAGACAGACTTGCGGCAAGTTAATACTTTGTACCGCGTTAAAATTAATGCAACAACATCGGCATTTATAATGATATAATCTCAATTTACCACATTTGCATGATTTACAAACATCCGGATCACATTCCCAATTAGCATAGAAACACTGGCACTGCTTTGTTCGACATAAACCTGGTGCACAACGGCAGCCAGGAAATCTGTATTTACATTGTTCACCACAACGACAAAATCTAAAATTACCATAACTTTAAATAATGAAATAGAAAGAGTAAGAATAGTTCGACTAACTGAATTATACTAATAGTAAGGATGTTTGCAATTGTATACTAACTTTGTACATAGATTATCGACACTAACGCATGAACAATTGTTTTCTGCCGAACAAGGCCCGCTGTGGGAACACGGCTCATAAACGTGAGTATTTCCTACTTTGCCTTCCGTTTTCGCCCATTTAACAGCACGAAATGTGCGATGCTGATCTTTCATATTTCTAAAGATGATTTTGCTATAAAAAATCCGCAGCAGGACAACATTTTGAGCACATTTTCAGTGGTCTACACTTAGTCAAAAGCTAACATAGTCGACAACAGCTTTTATTTCTACAGAGAAACCAAATTTCTATGCTTGAAACATCTTGACCTTTCATATAAAGTTGATTGGAAACAGGAATCGCAGAAGTAATATGAGAATATGAATGAAAAATGTAGAACTGAGTGTAATAAAGACTGATTGGATATGGGAACGTAATACGCGTCAGCAACACAAGCTCAATATTTCAAAGATGATCTAAGGCATTAACAGTTGTGTCTAGAAGAAATTTATGAGTAGCGCTGATATAAAAAACTCAGCCAGAATCACCTATTAGTTATAACTATTAAACTGATTATAACTATTGATGAAACACATATAAATTTCCTGCATTTTAATTTGTTCATAATGCTTTCCATCCAATTATTCTTTATGTTCGAGATGTATTATGCGCCCACATATTCATATTTTCTGCACAAGCCACACTTAGCTTTACATTTAACGGTATTCTCATACCTGCTAGGCTAGTGTTGCTTCATTCTTCAATTGACATATAATATTGAAAAGCGTTAGATAGAAAAAAAAATTAACTACCTACCAGGGAACTAAAATTGTTTGATAAAAACCTTAAAAAGCAGAGCGACCAAAGAAAAACATGTGCAAGCAGTTCAAAAAAATACTTCTTCTTTTTCGGTGGTGAATTTGGTGAAACGTCGGCTCTTGGTGATATTGGCGCTGTGCGGAAGGAATATGCATATAACTGTAATATGAAATAATCTGTGCTGGAAGAACCTGGTAGTTTTATAAGAGTTATGTTTTACAAAGTTCACAATTAAAAATACCTCTCGGCAAGATTTCGATGGCGCATTTTCTATAATCAAATTTAGAACTTCAGCTAATTTGCAGAAATCATTTTTGTAAGTTCGCCGTAAAGCAATGAACATTGATTCTTGCTGCGCTGTCCAATTAATGTCCTCTGTCTTTATATTTAATATGGCATTTATCGTTTTCGTATCCGGCGGAGAGGCACAACGGCGCTTTGCTTCTTCCTACAAGCATAAATTAAAAAGTCGATAAATTCTGCCGTAAATCAAACATTTAATTAAAATATAAAAACTAAGACATTCCACTTATAAAATCCGGCGAAACTAAAAAATCCACTCAGAAAATCTGGGATAAATATATCCCATTTCCCTATGTGAGTATTAAGCAATAAATTAAAGAAGTTTTAACTGATTCATCAAAGTACACGAATGAAAATAATTACATTGCAAACACTTTTGTCCAGTTATCTTCAGGTAGAATCTATTTCGCGACTTAAATCCAACCATTCAATTAATATGGAAGTCCTACACAAGTTGCAAATAAAGCGAATTCAAAAGTCGTCCATTATTTGTATGTTCCGAATGAGTAAAGCCCTACCATTTCTTTCGTCAAATGCCTGAAACACTGAGGTCCACAAGGTTCAATGCATGTTACTCCACGACGCCGCCGGACTTCTGTCTCTGTCGCGTTGACGCCTAAAGCACAATATTTTTGGCAACAGAATCGAAGTCGTAAAACATATGAAAATTTCGTAAAGCGAAACAACAGACCGAAATCAGTAAAAAAAGTAGAGTTTTCAAAGATTGTGAAAACAAAAGCAAGAATTTTACGAAAAATTTACTTTCTAAACTGTAAAAAAAAAGTGCCATTAATCCTATTGGGGAATATAAATTTGCAATTTACTGGCTGAATTTTTTTTGCTTTACCAATGAACTACAAAAATGAACCATGAATAAGGCAATCGTAAGTGAGACAACGATTACACAAGAGAAGTTGGAATGAATGAAGTGCTTTTGTATCCAGGAATTCTGACTGACTGCTGTCTTCGGCGAATAAATCTGAAGGACTAAAGCGTCGCTTCAGATCTTCGAATCTAAGTAAAAATGAAATATAACATGTGATATATGAAAGAAAAGAAATTCACAGTAAAGCAGTTAGTAGTTTGAAAGCATTAAAAACTAAAAATGTCTTAGACTGCAAAAAATTTACGCATAAGATTAAAAACATACAGAAATGGAAGCTGTTGAACTGAAGCTTTGTTCGGAAACTGCTCATAAACCGCTCTATATATCACTTGATCGGCTAAAAATGCGCATTAATATATGAATATAATTATGAAATAAAGTTGAGCTTCCTATCTCTTTTATAAGTGTTTCCTTTACTTTTCAAAATTACAATACAAAAAAGAACAAACAACAAAAACTATATGAGGACGTTAAATTATAATATTCTACATCCAACAAAAATTACTGCCAATAAAAAAATAATTTATTTAAAAATAAGTCTCTTTAAACGCACCAATATCTGAGTACTTGTCGAATAGTTTTTTTAGAACTTGATAAAGTATGTGATCGTTGATGAATGAACCACAACCAACTTTGGTGCCATGTATACCCTTTCATAATATGTCGTCAGTAAAACAAATTATTAAAAATAGTTATTTAAAACGAAATTTCAACACAAGCACTTATATCATTAATATACTAACTTCCTGGAAAGTCTTCAGTAATTCTTCGCCAAAGCCAATATCATCATCTTCATGGTCGCCCAAGAAAGGAATATGTGAAAGCGTACGTTCATCCTCACACTTAAGCAAAAATATGATTACAAGAATCAATTTCTGATTTCCATGTCAAAAATGCAAATTTGATATTTTAGTATTTAAAAAATTCAAACTAAACAGAAATAAATTAGAAACCCACATATGCCACGGATTTCACCTCCATAGAACAGGAGTAAGAAAACTTATCAAAAAAAGAACCAGAATGTTGCATTCGGTAAGTGTCCAGTACTGCATTCGTGGTGTACTCATAACAGCTTCAATACATTTTGAAGAGCATTTCTGTAGAACTGCATTAGTTGCTGACCGTAACGTGAAATATGTTGGTTGTTCTGGCATTGGTTTCAGATTTAAAGGTTTCACTCTGCTTGCTGTCTGCAAAAAATCTGCACAAGTATGAAGAGATCTAATATAGCTTTTCTCATTTCAGTACTATTAGATTCGCAGTGTAGCATTTTATCAATGTGTTAGTAGCTATCAGAAAATGAATCTCACCGCATTTCAGCATTTTTGTTATTACAATACATATTGTTAAAATGAAATGTAAATAAAATAAAGAAGAAATTAATGAAACACTTCTGTAAAACGCTAATTCAATAATATTATTTGTGATGTCGCTCGAGTTTAGAGCCGTTTCTTATGAATAAATTGCTAATCACAAGCTATCTCTCAACATCTTTTGTATCCTTATTATGCCCTTTACATTTTGCTAATTATTTTTTAACATCATATCTAGCGCAGTCTGTGCGATCCATAACGTATATTAAGATCAATTATATCTCAAAAAGATAAAAAAAAATAAGTCTAATACTGCCTTAAAAGATTTCAGTGACAAACACTTACTATATATTTCTTCCGTGGTTCTTCCCGTAGCATTTTGTGGTACAGTTTCTAAAATTACAATTTGAGAAGCACATTTCAGTTTGTAGAGGTTAGGGTTTTTGAAAGTTTTTCAAATTCTCAAACTGGGAACAGAAATGACGCTCATTTAATTTGAACTGCAAAATAGCAATACATACAAGGCCTTCAGCATCAATCATTTTTCTATATCGACTCATAACATCTTCATAAATTCGAGCCACATCATCATGTAGATACTTGGGAAGGGGAGCGTCATCGTCTTCCTTCCATCCCCTAAATGACTTTTCTTCGCCAGAGTCTTCATTTCCAACCTGTAATATGTTAAAATGTCAGTAAAATTTCCAGTGAGAGTTACTCATGCTGACATCACGAGTATCACTGAAAACTAGTCCTCTTTTTATATTTGCGAAGAATCTGATTCTTTATACAGAATATAAAAGAGGACTAGTTTTCAGAAGGTGTTGCGAAGACTTGAAAAACTTAAATTCCATTCTTTTAATCAATAAGAATATGCATTAACAAGACACTAAATGGTCTACTGATTGTTTCATCTCAATGAATGACAAAAAAAATTCATAACGAACGTCTTCCTTCAGCTGATCTTTTTTGAAACAACGTCGTTTTGCTCCACGGCTCACTTGTCCATCATTTTTGATTCCTCTTTTGTTAATATTACGACTACTGTTGGGGATATCCATACCACATTTGTCACTGAAAAGTTCAAGCTACCTTTTCTTCTGTTGCAAATTCTTACTCGATCTATTTCCTAAGAACAAGTGTAACAGAGAGAGTCAATCGCAATTTAATTTAGTGAATTATTTGCTTTTCCCTACTCTTTTCTGTAGATTAAAGAATCGAGAAAGAAGCATCACAAATTAGATACCTGCCGATAGAATGATGCGTTTCAAAAATCATGCATGTATGCTACGAGGGATGCAGTAAGCCTTGGTTTGATAAGGTGGTGTGGTCGGTATCAATGATTTTAATGCAGTGTTGGAGGTTAGACTTGCTGCGAGCTGTAATCATTTTTGATCTTTGATTGGGTATGTTACGCTTAACTTATGATTTGAACTAGTAACTTTCTATCAAGTTGCCTTTGTTTTCCGTTGTATATTATATAACTACTATTCTGAACTGTCAGTCTCAGCATTTTGTTCCAATTCATATGACATCAAATGCACTTAACTCTTTGCTGAAAACAACACGAATATAATCTAAGGAAGACAAAATATTTGAAATTTCAGGTTCTGTTTTAGCATCAACCCTTCTCATAATACTGTCGTTCAATTGAATTTTAATGCGAACAAACAAATTCTTGTTTCTTTTATATATTATAGCGTTTTTCTCCATATCAAGAGATTTATCCCAAATTTTAAGTAGTTTTTCTTTAATTCAGGGATAAATTTGTTACGAGTAGAGAGGTAGAAAGAATGTCGGTACCAGATCCGGACGAAGCAATGAACGCTCATGTGGAGGAACCCATAGACGATACTGATTTCGGTCTAAACAATGCGAATGAAGTTGATGACGAGTTTGTTGGCCAACCTATGGTTTCACCTGTACTTCCTGGAGAAAATGGTCAATTTAATCTTGTTACTGTTTATTTTGCACTCTTTTCTTCAGTTATCAGAAAGTTAGTACTTATTTTAATGCATTTCAGGTAGTACTCTTCAGAAAATTTCTATTGTGCCGACTGTTGTACAGAATGTTGTTAATTCCGTACCGTTCGATTTGGAAGCAATTCGAACTAGTTATACAGGTAGTTTTAGTGAGTCACTCTAGCCATAAATATTATTTCATCTAAGCAATGTTAATCTTTTATGGCATAAAACCGAAATAAAACGTGAATATTTTGTATTTGAATAACTTAGCCCGGTATGTTTCTTACGTTGCAGTAATGCCTGGCAGATGCAAAGTGTCATTTTGTCAGCCAATTTAAAAGAAATTTAAATGTTACTGCTTACCATAATAAAATGCTACAAACCTTCTTTCTGCGGTTCGAAGTACGGTTGAATGCACACTTGACATGCATTGTCAAGGGAAAACCTGCAAATTGTTAATTAGATTTATATTCGAAAAATGTCTCAGCAGTAAATCATTTTAGGTTATGCGTTGATTAATCGATTGTTGTTCATATCTGATACTTGTCCTCCACTGCAAAAGGATTCATTAATTATGCTTATCAATTATATTGTTGAGGTAGCTATACCGTTTGCTTTCATCTTTTTTTCTAAATTTGTCCTTTTGTAAAAGAGGAGCTAGGACTTTGAAAATAAATTTGATATCAATAATACTATTCCTTGAATAGTTAATGTATAGAGGTTATAATATGAGAAATTCAAATTTACGAGAGGTCGATTTTTTAGTTTGCAGCATACTTCAAATGTACAAGTGTATCTAGCAGCTCATCATCGTTTAAATTCTCTACGTGCACCACCTCTTGAATTGCACTCAGCTGGTGTTTCCGTGGATATGAATACTGTTGATGATTTGCCTCGTTTGAATTCACAATGGATGGATGCAACCACAGCAAAATCACAGGCCCGTTTGGATATGCTTGCAGTTGAGTTTAAAAGGCAGAAGGAGGAAGGTGTTAAGGTTCGTTATTGAAGTGAAGATTTCTTGGTTCCAATAAAACTCATATTTAATGAGGGTCACTGTATTGTTTTAGCTATTACTGTTATTTTTGTACTGTTATTTTAGCTCAGTTTTGATCTGCATTAATTTGAAAGTTACTATTTCTCACCAAAAATTAAATGTAGGAGTCTACGAGGCGTACCATGCATGATCTTTTTGAGCAACAGATCGCCATGGGACAACTGCAAGAAGCTGCTAAGCTATATGGTCGTGGGATACGAGAATATTGTACTTCACCAAAACATATCATCGAGGTCTTTTTGAAGATTTGTTTCATTCTAAGGTTCAAAATATGCTTAATCTGTGGGATATTTGTGATTGTTTAGTGCTTTACATCTTGTGATACTGATAATCGTTCATAACGAAATCACTGCCGTTAGCCTTGAATCATTCCTTTTCTTTCACTCCCTTACTCTATTGTTGGTTCCCAGACCGGTTGCTGCTGTCGTGTTCCTGATTAAGTCGAATTTATTCTAAACTTTAAGCGCGAAAAGTGGATAAATGATTTAAGGTATTGTTTTTGCAGATTTCTTTGAATTTCTCAGTTTAAAATTTTTTCAATACTTTTCTTTGGTTACAGATGTTGATGAATTGGATAGAGGTGACAATATATCTTAATCACTGGCATCGAGTAGAACCTCTCCTTACGCAGGTCGAGAGAGCTCTGAGTATGCATTTCAAATAATTTATTTTTTTTTTTAAATGGACATATAATTTTCGTACGATTACGTCTACATGCACATGTGTTTATGTTTTTTTTCAAAAAATTTAAGCCAGAAAATTCAAAATCTCAATCATTACTCCGATTTGCCAAATTTATTGTTTCTAATTTGTATGCATTCCACATCCAGTTTTAAACATAATTTTAATGCATATGCGTGCACTTCTAGAGTTTTAGAGAATTGAGTTTTCTACTTAAACAGTTAATGCACCTTCGTTCAGTGAAGTTTTATAATCTTATGTTGGAAAAAACTGCTTCGGTTCACGAAGGATTTTTCAATAACATAAGCAAAAGTTATATTTATTACAAACTCCTGTTTATCTGAATCCCCTTATGCATTTGTTTTTATACAGTTTATAGAACAAAATAAAGTATCCAATACAGATATTTCTTTAAAGTTATTTAAAATTTTTTACAAATCAATTCATTTCAATTATTTTGCAGTTGAAGCAATGGAAGTAGAAAGTGTGGCAGCAACATCAACGAGTCGGCCTGGTCGTCTGGCTGCAAATTCAACTTATGCAGCCACTAGAAATATGAAAGAAATAATTGATACTGCAAAGGCTAAAGTTGGAGCAGTTGCTGCTTTAAATTATCTTAATATGAGAAATTATAGACTAGTGGCCGAAAAATGTTTGAAGGTACCCATTGTTAAAATAATGTTAAGCATAAATTATCAGTAAAATATAACTATCGAGATATGAATAATTATAAGCAAAAAATAAAATTTTGAAATAGTAGTGATACAGGATAGAACTGCTCATGCACTTCGCTGTGTTTTATGAGGATCTAACTTTTTTAAAGGGAATTTCTGTACTTTAAAATCAATAGTGAACCAGTGGTTAAGGATTATTTTTTCAGATTGAATTTGATTATTTTGATTACCCAGTTTTGTTGGCCGTTAAAGATGTTGTTATGTTCGGTACCATTTGTGCATTAGCAACTTTTAGTCGGTCAGAATTGAAAGAAAAAGTTCTGGGGAGTTTAATGTTTTGGAAATTTCTCGAGACGGAGCCAAAACTTATTGAATTATTGCAAAAATTTGTAAAAAGTCAATTTGGAATCTGTTTTGATATTTTGGAAGAGGTATGTTCTTTATTATTAATTCTCTATCGGCTTAATAATTTCTCCTATGTTTTTCACATTATGAAAACAATCATATGGAAAGTGCAAACCATTTTAATGAATTGGTGAAATAAAAAAAAGCCATCTTATATTTCGTTCGTTACAAATCACAAGAAAAATTTTTTTTGCCATAGCTTGAAACTATTGAACATCTACGACTGAAGATGAGTTTTCCAGAAAGTGACCACCGCGAGTTGAGTGGGTTCATTACTGAACTGTTTACTCAATAAGATATGACTCATTTTCTACATCCACTGAAAATTAAATAGTGTTTAAAAGTATTTATTTTTTTTACACAATCCACTGTTTAATATTCTTTCGGAATATTAGACTGCATGTGCGAAAAAAATATTTCCTGTAAATATCTGCATATCCTATTGATTTCCTCAGTTTATTTTTCTTTAAGAGAAACTTTTTTCAGATTCGTGATCAGCTTCTTTTAAATATGCATCTTTGGCCGCATGTAAAGGAGCTCTATTATTTAATTCGGCGACGAGCAATTGTGCAGTACTTTACACCGTATGCAGTTGCTGATATGGACAAAATGGCTGTTATATTTCGTGTTCATGTTAGCGAGGCAATTGTTTTAGTGATTTTTTAGTAGGAAATTTACTCCGAACATTATATACGACTTTGTTTAAAAAAATTGATGCGCTCCTTAGCTTATTTTAGGGCCTAATTTTTTTTCGGTTTACACCAATTATTTTTGAAAGTAACATGAAATACTTTACCGTATTAAGCTGCAATCATTAAGTTTTCATGAATGTATAAAATTTATTTGTCGAACCATGTTTTAATGATATCTTTATTAGCTCCATTGGGAGGACTAATAAGAAGAATTACTTTGGGATAGATTTAATGTAATTTTTAGAAAAAATTAGTCTTATATTACAGCTGGAAAATGAGCTTGTTAAATTAATTGCGAAAAACGAAATATCAGCAAGGATTGATTCATCTTGCAAAAAGTTGTACGCTAAAGTCGAAAACCAAGTTACGAATACCTACAATGAGTATGTTTTAGTCCTGCGTTAGCACAATATTTGAAATTTTCAATTTCTGAAGTCTCTGCAAATAATTTTGAGAAAGCGAAATTTGTTCACATTTATGTATAGATTTATGCACATTTATGTAGTACCTTTTGGTTGAAGATTCTAATTTGATCATTTTTAAGGCTTATAGAAGTTAGTAATGCAATGCATCGCAACATTCTGGATATCTTGCTGCGGGCCGCGCTTCATCAAGCACAAATAATAGTTGGACAAACAGAAAATGGCGCACGTAATAGACGTCGTCCTCTTCAGGGATCTTCTGCAACCGATGAACTGTCGGAACGTAAAATATGTGCTGGTCAGCAGATAAGTATGCTCTTTTTTAATGTTTGGGATCATTACACGTGTACTTCAGATGTTGAAAATCTGTCTGAACATGAACTTCTCAAATTTTATTTTATCCAAGGAGAAAAATGACTTCAGATGTTTTATTTCAATAAATTTCTTGGTTCTGGGAAAAACTCGTGTTCTCTGAGGCATTTTCAGAAAATTTTTTAGCAAACAAAGTTTTAGGTAGCGCAAGCGATAATATAGCAAGCTGCTCAACAAGTCAGCTACCAGGTTCGTTTCGCTTAATTTTTGTTAGAGTATTTTTTTGCTAGAGAAATTATTGAGAGCTTAGTGAATAAAGTATATAATCCATCGATTTGTTGGCTGATGTTACAGGTGCTACGACGATCTAAAGATGATCAGATTTAATTTTCAGGGTTTATTTCTAGCTGATTAAAAAAGTGACTTATAAGTCGCACAAACACACACACGATTCTTTTATTTCATTGCATTATATTATTATTTATGATTTGTATGATATTTAAAATATAACCTTATTTAGTGCTATTGAGATAGTTTTAAGTTCTGATAGGTTGAAATTAAATTAGGTTTTGTTTTAGGAGCTACTAGAAGTTTGATGTCACGTCTGTTTGGTTCTGCTCGTGTCACTTTCAGTCCAACCAATTCATCACAAGCTGTAGAAGCGGATAGTTCAAATGAAATTCCCAAGGTTGTCAAGCTAATACAAGATAAATATGGCAGCACTTCTATTGGAATTCATATTAACCTTCTTCTGATACTTGGTATGAACGTTGATTTAATTCTCCTATGCTTTAACTGGATTCTGTTTTAGACTAATCCACTGAAAAGGGAGAACACGGAAGGTGCACCTTCGATTGAAAAGTCAGTCCCTGAGGCGTCCTCTTCAATAATTGCCGGTAATGAGAACTCTCAGGAAGTAATAATGCAGCAACATTCAGGTGATCAACAAACCCCTTCATTTCTGAAAGATACAGTTTCTGATGTTGATGGTTGTGATAGAGTCAATGAATGATTGTTTTTTTTAATTAATGCCAATTTTTTTCATTACGCTGGTTTATCTCATAATGGATATCATATTATTTGTATGAAATTAATAGCATAAGAGTGTTTACTTGCGGGAAAGAAGTCATATTTGGAAGAAGCATTAGGATGAGGTTCTAAGCAGGTTTTTTTCTAAGTTGTTACTTTATTCATTGTTACAATTGGACCGGATCGAGCACTACGGCTGCATTAAGATTGATATTGTATTTCAAGATCGTGATATTATTTTAGGATTTTGTATTTGAAGAGATCAGTTGTAATTAAACTTACTTGAGCATACAATCAACACTGTCTTAATACTTTTCACTGTTTTGGTGAGTTGTTCCTTTCAGCACTCTTATTATCAAAGTATTGCTTTTTTTGGGTCCAACCGGTCTAATTAATTTTTAAAGTAATATTTTCTTACACGTTTTCGTTGCACTCATCAACATTACATTTATAAGACAAAAATTGGATGAAAAATTGTCTCGTTTTGCAGTCACCGTATTAGATATTGAAAGATTAAAAGAAGTATGCATTTCGATTTCTCTAATTTTTTGTCAAGGAAGTTCTGGAAGCGAGGATTATCCAACTTGCAATAGGTATAAGATAAAATAAATATGAGGGTATGTGAAGCTGACAATATATGTGGATCAATACGTTTTTTGATCCTTTAATAAAAGTAAGGAAAGATATGATTTTAATAATAAATTGGTCATTACCTTTAAAGTTAGGATGTAGCATTCGGGTTAAGATAGGCGATTTCTGAAAATTTTTTTGCTCGAATATTGTGGTATTTTCTGAATACAGTTTCTTAACGATTGCATGCATTTCGGCTTAGAATTTTGTATAATTTGTTGAAATGAAACCACTGAAGAGTTTGGTACTCATTTTCTGCATTTTTTTGTTGGGAAGAGAATATCTGATAAAATAAGAGTTATGTGACATGGGCAAACATTGCATCAGCACTTTGATAAATCAAGCTAGGCAATCTTGTACAAGATTAGCTCTGAGGCATTGCGAAACCCTTTAGGATTATCACGGTCTGTATTCAACTTTTGAGATGTCATGCCCTGGATTACTGAAATCAAGTAACGCCTTCTATATTCAGGGCAATTCTTGTAACAATCATTGAACCATAAGAAAAAATTTGTTTTCAAAGAGAGCGACTGTCTGTTACTCTCCTTCTCTGTTTATACATATATTAATGATAATGATAATAACAATAATGACTTACTCTCCATATGTATATTAATGGTGCTGATTAGACATGTTTAGGTTGTCACGGTGATGAAGCGGAGAACAAATGTCTTGGTTTATTGATGTCACTACCTCTGAAATCTGTTTCAATACCGGTGAAATAAACAGAGCGGTAAATTGACATAGAATATATTAGTTGCTCTTTTCTCTTCACCAACCAATAATCCATCCCATACTGGGAATGCAATCCGACGCACATGTTTCAATAAGCTGGATTATATTATTCGTGTTCCCTGCATTTTCTCTGTCTCTTTATCTTTTTTAAAATCTTTTCAGAAGCTAGCATTAATTTTTGAAAAGTTTACGTTTATGATAGATTTTGAATGAGGAAGTAATGCGCCAAAACGAAAATTTTACTAATAGATACTTTGCACGAAAATTATGATAAATGAGTAGTAGCAATTATTATGAGTGAAATAAGCTGTCGCAAATTCATCTCAGTACAACTTTCTCTGAGAGATGCCAAATCCTGCAGTAATGATCGAAAAGATTTCTACTTCATTTCCTCTTATTTACAGACTTGAAAACAAATAAGAGCCTTGCGAAGCAGGCAGTACTGTTTAATTTCGAATTTATTAACTTCCGAAAGAAATAATTTCTTCCTCATTTGCATATTTATGAGCGTAGAAATGTACTCAGAGAAACAAACGAAAATAATAGTGCAATTGTTTATATCTTTCCTTATTCTCATCGAAGTTTCTGTCAAAATTAAATTTCTGAAAAGGAATTTATCAAATTTTCTTATCACATAGGTTAACTTTTCGGTCAAATTTTCACTTTTCATCAAAATTTTTGTGGTTTAAAAGATGAAAATTAGTAGGTATTTCTTCTTTCAAATATTCGTATATAGCATAATTTTAATTTTAGCAAATTTACTCATTAAAGAACTTTCTTTAAAATTCCTTTTTATTTTTAAGAAGGCATTATTTTAAACATCTCCAAATATTAGTCTGAAATGGCTTCTCAGGAAGTTTTCGGAGGACGTTTGAGTACTTTTAATTTCAATCCATTCATGTTTAACATTTCAAATGTTGCTTCTAATATTCCCAAAAGAATATTTTCATTATTTTCAATATTTTCAGAATATTTTCATTAAAGATTTCTCATCGACTTTTAAAGCTGAAAACTGCAAGACGGAATCACTGTTATCAATTTTCGCCTCTTAATTACATGAGTCATATTTTATTTTCCAACTGGGAATAGTCCAGCCTAATTTGCAGGAAAAATCCAAAAGGACATAATTTTAAATCGAATTCAGAAAGTAGTTTTAAATGATTTTGCAATAATTTCTCATTTTTATTAAAGAACGAAGTTTCTCTTTTCATTCAGAGATTTCTTTTTAATTCCGAAAAAATTACGTCTAATTTTGAATTAATTTCAATTAACAGCACTAATTATATAAGAATAAACTATTGATTTTTCTCTTCTTATTTGCAAGTGAAATTTAGTAGGAATTTGAGAGAATTAAATTAAATTGAATTTCATATCTTTTTAAGATGACAATCATATTTGGAAATACAATCGTCGCATTTGAATACATAAAATTTCAAAAATCAATTGAATAATTGAACTATTTGAAAACGAAAAAATTTTTTCTAACTATCTATTAGCTAATAAAACGAAATTTATATAAAAATTTAGAAAATTATTAGAAATTGGGATTGTAAGAACTCATTCATTTCCTCTCGTAGTGATATTATGAAGAATATTAGTTTACACCCAAGTTTTCTTTCCTTTCCTGGTTCTCCCACTCATTTCCAATCCTATTTCTCTTATCAACAATAATATTAGTTTTGTACGACAATGAATGAATTTCATTCATTTCAAACTTTGTACATAAATAAGATTTTTGATTACAATTTAAAAATTGTAATTTGATGAAATCTTCAAATGAATCATATGATATGCAAAATAAACTTTTGTTCAAAATGATTTATCAGAAATTTTTGAATTAATTCATTCACCAACAAAAAGTGCATTATTTTATTCAATCAATTTTTTCAAAATTATGGAATGAGTATATAAATAATTATATTTTAAATGATTGTCAGTCAAAATGCTATGTATCACAATCTTATCGCTATTTTATTCGCATTTTCAACGTGGAATCGAACTAATGATTAATTATTACTGCATACTAATTAGGTAAACAACATTTTCTCACTCATAAAATGGGAACATGCCAAAGTCAAGAAGAAAAAATGATGGCTAACCAGAGTAGTACTGCTCAACAGAATACTATTAAATTACTTCTTCTAGGTTTGTTGTTGCAATTAATTTTTTTTCGTTATGAATTTCTTACTGATTTCGATGATACAGATACATTCATCATCTTCAATGATCTTAATGATCAGTGGCCAATATTGTTGAATCTTAAAATTTAAAGCAATTTGTTCTTCAACACTTTTAATTATAATAATGATGAATTTCTTAGAAATCATCAAAATTAAAGAATGAGTGATCAAAAATATTCATGTATTTAATAAGTTTTGCAATTAGTAAAATAATTAAAATAACTTTTAGGACCTGGTGAGTGTGGCAAAAGTACAATTCTCAAACAAATGAGGTAAGTCATATTTTTTATTATAGTTTTAATTTTAAATCTAAAGCAAAGTTCAAATATAACAGATGTAAAATTTCAATAAACAAAATTTTAGTTCAAAAATACACTAAACAATTTAATTGGTTTAAAATTCAATGTTAAATTCAAGTTCTTTTTCCATGCCCAAATCATTATGATAGTTCAAAATTTTTAGTTAATTATGGATGTCATTTTCAAATGAATTCATATTATTCAGGTTATTGCATACTAGTGGATTCACTGATGAGGAAATAAATCAACAAAAAACAGTAATTTACAACAATATAGTACAAGGAATGGCTTCTATTCTAAGGGGCATGAAAAAATTTGATATTCCATTTGAGAATCCTGATCGAACAGTAGGTTTTGTAACTAAAACTTTTTCAAAATCATAAATTTCATCTCATTAAAATTTTTAATGTTTGCATAAATCAAATCATAACGATAAGCTTTTTTGTGAATTGCATTTGTTTTTTTCTGAAAACTATATTTTAAATTAATTATGAAATAGTTTTAGTTAAATAGGAAATAAAAAAAATGATCAGTATTTTCATTTTCTTGATATTAGTTATGTTGCAAAAATGCTGAAATTTCATTTCCTAAAAAGATTTTATAGGTTGATGCTCGTATTGTAATTGATACTTTCAAATCATATATCGAATCAGAACCTTTAACACCTACGCTAATTGCTGCACTAAAAAAATTATGGGCTGATAAACAAGTTCGTAAGAATGTACACGAACGTGGAAGTGAATTTCATATAGCAGAATCTACCGCTTAGTAAATATCTTATATTTAATATAGCATCATAGTTTTCTTCAGTTGTAATATAGGCTTTTTTTTAAAAAGTTTATTTGAGCAGGAACCAAAGATCGATGACTTAAAGGACGTGTAAAAATGAATTGATCAAAGTCATTTTCACACGGTGTTGAATTTATTGAATTTCACACGCTTGGAAATTGATATTAGTAAAATATTTTAATAGAATCTGAAGTACTGAAGTACTCAAATATTTATTATTTAAGATTTCGACTATTTCTGATCTCAACGAAAAGTTTAATTATTTATAAAGATAGACTTGATATTTCAACAAATCATACAAAAATTTAGCTATTTTAAAAGTTGACATAAAAACTTAATTTAAAGTGAATTCATTCATTTCAATACAATAACAATATTTTCTGGAAATGATTCTGCAAAAGAAAAACATTTCTCAAAATGATGGTTTTATAGTTTTCTGGATTCCATTGATCGAATTTCATTACCGGATTATAAGCCTACTCAAAAAGATATTTTGCTCAGTCGAATTAAGACAACAGGCATTGTGGAAGTGAAATTCAAAATAAAAAATGTTAATTTCCGGTAGTTTTTCAAAATTTTTAATTTATTTACGAGCAATTAATCCTGTTTTTCGTGAATTTTCAGTTTTCGGATGTTTTTTAAGTCAGATATTCAATTTCTTTTAATTTTAATTTAATTTAATTATATAATAAATTTTATTTTATTCGAATATTTTATTGCAAAGAAAAATAAAAAGAAGTATTACTGCAATACTGATATGATAGCTGATTTTCTTCTTTTTTTTCAACACTTTTTTTTTGCTCTTCTTCTCAAGTATCATATAATCTATGTTGTAAACAAAGTCTCGAAAGTGACAACTGAAATATCTTTTTTTCATTGTAATATATTTGAATTTCTACTTTTTAATCTTTTTTTACTTCCTTATCATTGGCGAAAAAGCATAGTTTCTTATGCAAATAATAATTTTGAAATGTAAAAATTTGATAAAAATTCTTTTTCAAATTTGAATTAAAAATTCATTCATCGCTTTAAAATTTTCTTTTTATTTTTTAAATTATTTGGAATAATTTTTAGAATTTTTGATGTCGGTGGACAACGCTCAGAGCGTAAGAAATGGATTCATTGCTTTGAAGATGTTAATGCAGTTATATTCATTGCAGCAATCAGTCAATATGATCAAGTGCTTTTTGAAGACGAAAATACGGTACTTCACTTTTTTTTCATCTCTCCCAAAAATTTTCAACGTTGAAATATTTTAATTTGTTGCATATCGTGAACTACACAAAATTTGTAAACTATAAAATCTAAACTTTTCTTGAGCAATGTCTCAACTGATTATTGATATGAAATTCACAAATGAGTTATAGTCAAAAATTTCACTTCAAACTCAGCTGCTCTTCTTATATTCTCAAAAAGAAGAAAAAAATCTTTTAAGGAATTGATAGATATATTTTGCTTGCTTGTGATAATTTACAAAGTAGTAATCATTATTGGATTCCGAGATTTATCCTTAATATTTCAAACAATAAGAGCTCTTCAATAACGATCGTATACAATCGTTTTAACAAGAGTTTTTTACAGTCATTTCGTATCTGACCTGAGAATAGAAGAGATAGTTGATATCTTGCTTTTTATACTAGCGATAAACTCAAAAGCTGTAAAATTTCCTTCCTTAACTTGCTTCAGTTCTTCCAGCACGATATTGTCATTGTTTCGACTTCCATTCAAATTAGTTATCTTTCAATTATTGCCACTTTGACACTTTGCATTTATGCTTTCACTTTTGTGCTTTTTATCATCCGCTGAAATTCAATCATATTTTAAGCACTTACTTGTTAGTCCAACAAATGTTTCCGAATTGTTAATTGATGATTTTGCATTTTAGTTTAGGTCTTATTATTTATATATCTGTAATCATAGAATAACTGCGCAATGAAACTTTTCATATTTTGCAGAATGCAGTATAAAGTTTAAAGTTCAAAGCTTGAACTTGAAATTAACACTGATATGTTATATTAGTCAAATCTAAAGTGTCATTTTACCATTGAGTGTAACCTTATATGCTAGGCTTTGAAGCATTTGTTAATGATGATTACAGCCGGGAAAGTTTTTGATTTGAAGAATTTGTTGTTTCACAGACAAAGATTGTTGAAAAGATTGATTTTGGTGGAAGATGGGTTTATTCTTCCTGCGACAATAATCAAAGGGTGTCAAGAATAGGAATGATTAGACTTTTTGATTCGGGAGCAGTAAATTGCACTGAAGTACGCTTCTTTCGAGTAAATAGTCAATTGATCATCTTCGAATTAATAGTACAAAAAGGTCATAAGATCATTTGATACGAATGATAAATAAATACGAGGTTATTGAGTATAATTCATTAACTTATTCTATTAATTATAGCAGATAAGCAAATAAAGTAATAGTTAGCAAAGAATTGCTTGAATATAGAATAGATAAAGCCGGTGGAAAAAAGGGAGCTATTTGATGTTAATTATTTATAGTATTCTTCAGAATAATAATTTGAGATGTTAAATAAAGTCACTATCGAATCATTTCAGTGAGAATATTTGAGACAAAGGATTTCTATAGCATAAACAACAAGAGTATAAAGATACATTGATTAATTAAACATTTTATATTATGAAGTTATTTCCGACAATATCAGTGATACTTCAGCATCGACGATTTAAGATAATTGCGTTTACATGCTTTTCGCTGCTTAGATTATTTCCTTGTAATTGAATTCTTGCTTGTATAATGAAAGAATTCGAAAATAGAACTCTCCAACTGTTAAATAATTAGAGCGGTCACAAAGGCAATAGATGTAAACCTTCAAAAAATTAGTTATATTTATTTCTGTTTTACTTTTAACACAAATCCCAATGGATCAAAGCACAATAATGTTTATTGATAAATTAATAACTGATCAAATATTTTCTGTTTCAAAACTTTTTTAAAATTAACACCACAAACTTTTCTTTTTTGCATACAGAATAGTATGATCGAAAGTATACGATTATTTGAATCGATATGTAATAGTCGATGGTTTATCAATACAGCAATAATTTTATTCCTCAACAAAAAAGACTTATTTGCTGAGAAGATTAAACGGGTTTCGATCAAAATTGCTTTCCCCGAATATGACGGTTTGCTTAAGTTCATTTACTTTCAAATTCAAATTTCAAAAGCGAAGTACACTGAATTGAATATTGCAATAGTTTATCAATTTCAAGACAAGCTCAATTGCAAATTTATTTGAAATAACTTGAGAGTCAAAAAAAAAAGATTTCTTTCAAATTGCATTATTCAATTACTAAGACTATAATTAATAATTTTTGATTTATTGAAATGCATTGTTTGGCTAAGTAAAGTTCTCATTTAAAAACAAATAAATTATGCACAATCTCGAAAGTATCAAAGATTAAAAACCATTTTAGAAAAATTAAAGATCTTGTTTATAGGTCCACAAACTTACGACGATTCAGTACTATTTATCGAAAAAAAGTTCGAAGCTGTAAATGCAAATCTAGAGAAAACGATATACACTCATCAAACATGTGCGACAGATACGAACCAAGTGCAGATTATTCTGGACAGTGTTATCGATACGATCATTCAGGCTAATTTGAGGGGATGTGGACTGTATTAAATATCCTTGTTTATGTGTTTAACATCCATAATTATTATTAAAGTTTTGAATAATGTTAGATTCTACGAATCACCACTGCATTCAAATCACAGTTACTATACCTCTCCTTTCTTACCTGCACTTCTAATCAGTGTAGATCTATTTACCTGTTCACTTGTCCCATTAATTCTCACTCTCTCCTTCTCCGTCAATTACACTCTTCATTAGTTGCATTGTTTCACTTCTTATGTTGTAGTACTGCTTTTTTTCCTCCATCTCTTTCCAATTTTTTCCAAATATGCTCCATTTCCCTTCTACCATTGAAATACTTAATGTGTTAATGAGAGTTGAGATGGAAGTTTTATTCTTCAGTTTGGTGCTTTTATGACAAAAACTTTTCTCACCTTGGCAACAGCCTCATTCCCATATTTCAAGATTATTAACATACAATGCCTTCATGCTAAGGATTGAAACAATCACCGGTTGTTTATTAAGACAAAAACTCTTTCTTTAAGAACCAATAAGGCTGAGGAATTGATTCTTAATGAGTTCGTTAGCGGGGATAGCTTCGGTGTAAAATTCTATTTTTATTAGCTTAGATATGAATATTGTGGAATAAATTTTGATTTATTGAATTTTTTATTAAGAGATTTTTTCTGAGACATTATACAACAAAAAAATCTTTATAGAATCGTTAAATTCTTGTGAGGGATAAAAATTAGAATAACTTTTAGTATTTTAGCATTAGCAACCATATGCCAGCAGGTAAAGATCATTGTTATATATATATTTTTTGTTGCCTCAGTTGCAATGAATGCATGCTATACTATGAATTATGCATTTTCTGCATTCTGCATAAAACATTCAGAAGTTCCCGCAAGAACTTTTGACACTGATTGTTGTGTATTGTTCATTTTCCGTTCTCGCCATCGGCGATATAATTGAGGAATGATCAATAAAATAGCAAAAACTATTACTGCAGCAACCAATTCGCAAAAATTTGGCCCAAATAATGGCCATGGATCTCTGTAAATTATTGTGTTATTTAATGCTACCATATTTTTACACAAAAATCAAACTTATGAGGACTAAAGTAAGAAAAATTGGCGCTAAAAGCTTCAAATCAGAAATTCAAAAATAAAACTTGAAATATAAGATCCAAGTGTATGATCGCTTAATTAAAATTCCCTATTCTCAAGAATAAGAAAGATATTGCAAAAGATGTTCATCATTTTTCTCCAACCATTTCATTCTCGAAAGTATTTGAGACTCTGAGGTGACGCATTATTTCACTGGAAAAAATCTCCCTAAATTTTGTTAAAAATCAAAGGGAAAAAATCTTTTAAGTAAAACTAAGAAATTTACTTGTAGAAAGGTTGACAGCATTCCGCACCACAACACCAGGCATATGGAGAACATATCCAGTAAATATGATTCACTTGCTTTTTCGAATTTCCGATAAAAATGTTGCTCAATTCCTGTAACGATGATATATGTTCATCAAACTGTTCTTAGAATTACCTATATTACTTAGTTCATTTCATCAAATACTTTTTTAATTTTGGTTTCAGCTATACATTTTCAACAACGTCGAACTTTAATCTTTCATGGCTAACATTGGTTAAAATCAATCTATAGGACCTAAAAGATGAACTTGTGATTGCATAATATCACATAATAGTAACAGTTCCATATTTTCTCAAGCTATTTTTCTGACCAAAATTTACAAGTTATTTTCATCATTGAAGAATAACGTTTGGGAACTGTGTTTTGTTATTTCACATAAAATGAACCAACCAATGATACACTGCTTATTCAGAAATTCTCAATTCTTTTTGATTGTTGAAATTAACCATAATCATTTTAGTATTATCAATAAGTTAACTAATTAAAATTTTCGTTACTTTCCTATGATCTCTTAGTTTAATTTCTTCTCATCTTTTCATGTTTATTTATATTCTAAACGATATTGTTAAGATATTCTCAATTGTTTATCATAAATGGATATTTATATCAGGATCAATTAAATCTTTTGCAGTAATTACTCTATCCTTTCAAATTTTCATTGTTCAGAATTTAATTTGCAACTATTCCTACCTTAATCAACATTATATTAGCCTAATATATGCAAAATATTCATAAAAAATTAAGTTTAATTTTAAGCGTAAAAAGGCGTAAGAAAAAATAACCACCTTAATTTCTGAAACTTTTAAATGGCATAATTTTCCTATTTTAGGTGGTTCAACGATGTTTTGATAAGTGTGTAATTGATATTTAAGATTATGATGACCAATTGAGATGTTGCCAGCATTTAAGATGACCCTGAGTGAATCATTCCTTAGAACATCGATTGATTGTAGATAGTCGCGTAATTTTCTACAATAGAACCAATGCTTCCACAGCGTATAATAAGTGAAATATACAACGTTGGGTTCATTCTGAGATCGAAATCACCTTTAAATTTCGCGGTGTTGATTTAGAAGAGATATCAAAAAACTCATCGGCACCTATTCTTTTCTAAAGAAGAATAAAACTATGTTCAAGTATGGGAAGATATATATTTCAGAAATTTCAAGCAAACTAAAAATATACTACGACTTTGATCTCGAATTAAAGAGTTTTTTACAGTTGTTAAATTACTTAACTAATGATAATTCTAGAATGGTCACGAATTACACATATCACAAAACTTACAAGAAACTGTTCTCCTTGGAAAAATCACTTTGATAATAATATGTGCCATTTCTAAATGTAGAATAAAATTTAATCGGATTTATTCTATCACTTTTGATTAATTCAATTATCAAAAGCAAAATTGTTAGAAGTATATAATACAAATTCATAACCTGAAAAGTGATAATTGTTAAACAATCAAATATTATTTAAAACAATTAAATATATTCATATCAATTGGTTTTTGTTTGTACAAAACTAATTAACATATGCATTTATTTATTTTCCCAAGCATATTAGAAAAATAATGAAATCAGTGAAAATGGAAATGAATTGATGCATTCTTAGCTAACAATAACTTACACATTTAATTGCTAATATGAAAATTAAGAAAATATAAACAACTATATAATAGTTATGCATAAAATTTGTTCATATAAAGAGTTGTTTATGACAGATTAAATAATAAAAATGGATGGCTGGCAAAAAATTTGAAAAATTAAGCTAAATTTTTTTCTCGTTAATTTATATAACTAAGCCTTAATGCAATTATTTATTTATTTGAATAATAATTTTCTACACGAAATTCTGTAAGAAAAAATTTTTGTAAAAAAATTTTCTGTAAGAATTTATCAAACTATTCTTTTTTTTGAAAATGAATGAATAATTAAAAGGTTAAAATTATTTAATTCAATTGTTGTACTGAGAGAATTAATTAATGATTAATGAATATTAATTAATGAATATACCGTAGAAAAGCTATGAGAACTAATTATACGAATGATATGTGAAATTGAATTATATAAATTTTTAGCTTTTGGAAAAATCGCAATGATAATTTTCTGGCTGTCACAAACAGATATTTCTCTTTTTGAATAATTTCTGCTAATATTATCATAAATTTATCTTTTGTTTTGTGGAAAAGTACTTTGCATAAAAGATAATACAAAATTCAATGAATGATTTTATAAGTATTATGCATTGTTTTAAATTAAATTAATTTAATTTCTCTTCAAATTTGAATATTTCTAAATTAAAAGAAAAAAGTAAATTTTAAAACAATCAAATAAAAATTTTCGAAAACAATTAGTTTCATATAATTATATAATATCTTAAAAAATAATTTAAGAAAAAAATATATTTAGGCAAAGTTTGCTTTTTCAAATCATAAAAAACGATCAAACTATAATTATCGATTTTTTTTCTTCTAAAATGAAACGTAGAAAACTTTGAAGAATTTTCATTATTACGTAGTACGTCATTTTAAAATTATTAATTGATATTGAAAGATCAGAAATCGTGATAATCTACTGATTTCTGCCTTTACCGATAATTTAAGATTTTCGAAATTATGCAAAAGAAGTATGTTTTTGTAATACTTTCAGATGTTTTGTATTATCAATAACTTTTTAGATTTTTTACAACAATTATATTTTCCAACTTTTTTCAATTAAAAATTTTTTACTATTTTAATGAAAGAAAGTTATACATAACATTGCAATAATTAACACAGTGAATTATTCATCTCATTAAAATCATTGTAATATAATTTACTCGAAACTTTTGCAAAATTAATTAAACTTTAACTAAATAAGTGCAAGTTAAGTTCAATCAGTAATAACCAAATGCGAAATATTCATTGTTTTAATGAAATAAATTTAATTTCACATAAATGAAAGTATTGTTGTCGTATAATTGAAAACTTTCGAAATTATACGAAAAGAAAAGTTCTAATTTAGAGAAATAGCCATGTATTTAATTGGTTTTTTTTTTCGCTTTTTCTCCTTTTTAAGCAATAAGGAAATGTTGGAAAATAATAATTTGCATAAATCGGACATCATTTAAAGCCTACCTGCCACACCTTTAATGAGCAAATTCTTTTTCATTCAATAATTCAGGCATGAATGATTCTTAAAAATAGCAACCTACCTTTAATAATACTTAAATATAATATTTTATCATTTTAAGAAATGAAGAAAAAAAAGAAGTGAAATGTAAATTTTGGAAATTATGCTAAATTATTTAGGGATAGAAGAGAGAAGAAATTACTGAAAAAGTTTTACATTAATTATCATCGCGAAATGTGACAGTAGCAATTAATTCATCTTTTACGACACATTTTTTCTCCTTTTTGCTAATAACTATCTAAAGTACTTCTTGGTTAATTTTTCCTCTCTCTTCAATATTTGCAAATTTTAGAACAAAAAAAGGTATTCATTTTCATTTACGATATTTTAAATTTTAGTTGAAAAAAAGGTTTGAAAGGAATTAGAAATTCAATTATGGATATTACATGTAAAAGTGGCAATAAGCCAAAGACAAATATGAAAATCAATGAACAAACGGACGAAAAATAAATTCATTTTTTAAGCAAACAAAAATTTTTGTTATCAAAAAATTTAAAGCATTAAAAAATTAATTTCATTAAACTATTTCGAATGTGAAAATTACCAAAATAATTTGAACACAACGATCTTTTATGAAATATAAAATGTATTAGCGAATTGGATTAAATTGAATAAATTATTTTTTGCATATTAATTGTTCTTTAGAAACAAAAATTTTATGAAACTCCTTTGAAATAGCCGCCTCTATTTGCCCTATTTTATGAATGGAAAATATTATGAAATTTTAATTTCAATTTCTTTCAACAGTTAAGATAATAGAAATGTTTAATGAAAAATTTATTGAAATCTTATGGAAAAGAAGATTCATTTGTTAGACAATAATATAATATAAGAAAAGATTAAAAATAAATATTATTCGGATATTATTATTATTATTCTACGAACAACGATCATTACTGAATGATATGAGTAAAAAAGAGTATTCAGTAAAAAAGTACAAATTCTTCAATAAAAAAGTAATTTAAAGAAAAACCAATCGAAGAAAACGAATTCTGAAAACCGGACGAAGAAAAAAAGTACATAACAAATATAACCTTAAAATTTTTCAAAATCAATCGAAGAAAAATAACGACATTTTGATTTAATGACTAGAAATAAATGATCCGGAATGGATAATGGAAAGTGGGATGAATTGCAAGAGAGAAGGAAAATGGGGTTAGAATAAAATTGAAATAAAAGAGGAATTGACATTAAAAATGATAAAACAAGTTCATCTGTGCAAGATTGGATAAAATTGATTTATCCTACAAATGTAAGGAATATTTTCCTTCTTATGGAATTTCGAAATGCAAACACATTAAACTTTTCCCATTTAAAATCGTTATATATCTCATCATTTATCCTAATTTTATCACTGCTCTCATTAGCTTAATGATTCTTTTTACTTTATGAAAAACATGTCAGTGATCATATTTTATCATTTATCAATACATCCATCTTCATAATTAAATATTGAAGACAAGAATAGAAGTAAAATTAAAATATCAAATAATTCATGAAAAATGAAATAGTATGATCAAAAGTATTTTCATTTTCTTCTTTTTGCTGCAATTTGTTGAAACAACACAATAACACAACATATGATAATTATTACAAAGTTTATGATTACTTATTTAGTGAAGAAAGTTTTGACAAAAGAAATTTTAGGAAGTAATCTAAAATGGTTAAATGCATATTTCAAAAATGAAACAATTCGAAATAATTAATTAGTAAAATAAATTTGAGACAATAGCAAAGAAGTTTTGCACTTTTTTCGGATTAAAAACAATTCAAATAACACTTATAATTATAAATTTATAGAATGGTAACAAAATAAGCTATAAATATTATTCTTACAACATTTTGCATCGATTGAATAAAGTCTTTTTGATTTTGTTTTCAAAAATATTCTGAGACAAACATTTACATGTTCCATTAGAATTATCGCTGATTAATGAAAATTTCGTAAACAAATAAAATAAACAATTTTTTTGTTATGTTATTGTCTTTGTGATTCTGTGATAACAGCGGTATTTTTGATTACAGATGAAAGAAATAAAGATTTATTTATTGTTAAGCTGTGATAAATTAAGATATTATCTGAATGAATTCAAATAATTGCAATTAGGAATACAATTTCTGAATTCAAAGAATGGTGGAATATTCAAATAATTGCAATTAGGAGTACAATTTATGTATACCTATTAGCAGCTTCACGTAACAATCGCCAAAGTATTTTACCACCTGGTGATCGAGGTAATGTCATTGCTATAACTACAACGTCCACCTGTTTATGACGCATCACACGCTCTGAAAATGAAACCATTAGGAAAGTATCGCAAAAAATGTAATAGTAAAATCAAAAATTTTTTTTTGGACGAGCGATTGGTTATCTATCAAACATTCAAAACAATATAAAATAACAAAATTTTACAATTATTAAGAACTAATTTACTTTTCACTGAATTAATATCCCACATTAACTTACAGTTCTGTTTATTCTTATGCCCTTGACAATGACATTTGACCTTAGATAAACTAACCAAAAGATCTTTTTTTAGTGGTGAATTGCCAAATGGCTATCAAGTTTCTATCAAAGCAAATCAATTCTTATTCCACAAATAACTTAAGTCGAAAAAGTTCAAAGCATACCATTAATAAACTCCTTAATTTGTTCAGCAGTGGCAGGTACACGAGGTTTTAGCACCACGAAAGCTACCGGTATTTCTTGCTGATTTACTTTTGTAGCCGGTACGATTGCTGCTTCAGCAATAGATGGATGAGTTAACAGGATCGATTCCAACTCTTGTGGTGTTACCTAAATGTGAAATTCACTGAACGAGATAGACAAAAGTAAGTAACATAAGTAGATTTCACTCTTAATCTTACATTATCTCTTAAGAAGGAAAAAACTGTTATAGCTCAATTTCAACTGTTATTAATCATTTATTAATCAATGCTATATTAATGTACCCCTAAAGGAATAGCAACAAAATTACATTTAAAAGTATTTCTTTCATACTTTTTATTCAAATATAGTAATAAAATTATACCTGAAGACCATCAACCTTAATCATCTGTTTTTCTCGATCAACGAGAAACACATTACCGTCTTCATCATAAAATCCAATATCACCTAAAAAAATTCACTGAATCAATTCATACTCTTAATACTTTCATTCATTATCAATTCTTTTTTCTTTAGTATTCAATTCTGCGTATTGAAATATTTTCATAGCATTGCATTGAGATTTAATTCTAATATTATTTTGTAAACAATCACAGGTGTTAATTATTCCTAATTAAAAAGTATCAATTCTACTATTAATGTTTCTCCAATTGTTTTGTTGAAAAACGTGTATGCAACACTTTCTAATGCAACTATAATATTCATATGATACATTAATTTACAAACAATCTATGTCGGACATGCTGTTTTTTTCCATAATAGCCTTTTTTAATTCCTATTAAATTAAATTGTTTTTAATTTAAAGGTAATAAATCTATACCAGTATTTCTCCAACCATTTCGTTGAAAATCCTCAAATGTAGCTTTATCATTTTTCCAATAGGGTGACACCACAGTTTGTCCTCGGAGCAGAATAAGACCTTGCTGATTTATGCCTGCTTCAAGTCCACTAACCATATCTATTACCTCAATAAATTTGTTTTTATTTATAACTGTTTGACAAAAGAGATATTTTGTTTTATCCATCTTTTATAGCTATCAGTTTATAGTCAAGCAATTTTAAGTTCTGTACTTCTTCAGCCATCTTTTACGAAAATTAGGAATGAAATTTTGCTATTTTAGGAATGCTACCTTTTAACGATTAAAATATTCGACTTTCGCAAAAAGCTCTCGAAAACAAAAATTTAATTTTTAAGAAAATTAAATGAAATGAGAAAGAAATTACCATCATACTCAGGCCGGCACATAATGTTCCACATGAACGAGATATGAAAGGTGAGAATTTAGTTGTTCGACTGATAATTCCTGCTTCAGTCATTTCGTAAACTGAAATGCTGAAGAATTTACAGAACATAAAATTGATTTACTGCAAACTGACAACTATTAATAATAATAAAAAACATTTATGTCACTTATTCAAACCATAAAAGTTAAAGTGAATTAGTTGCATACTAACAATAAACATTTCTGCACAAATTCAAAAAAATGAAACAAATTCATAAAATCCTTTTTTATAGTTCATATCTGAGAAAAATGAAAATTGAACGAAATTAATATCAAAAAATGAAAAAAGAAATAAATATATCATACCGGCACTGAAATGTTTAACAAATGGTAAACATCGATATGCTTGCTTTATCGTATCTTCACCAATTGCTTCTGTTCCAATTACTACTGTTTTCAAATGATAATATGGATAACGATTTATTATATCTGTATCACAAAGACGTCTCAGTGTAGTAGGACTGACAAATAGTATCTTAACCTGTAAAATTTCGTAATTTAAACAAAAAAATTTAACACATAAAAAATTAATTCTAAATATATCTAATAACATAATTGCACATAAAATGAAGAGAAACATTTGCGTTGCTTTATGATTTAATAATATGAAACTATAACTTCCTATGATTATGACATGATAGTTATAGTAAACAACTGTATGATAATGACCAGTGGTATTTAATGAGCAAAAATTATGCCATTAAAATAATTTAAGAGAAATTAATAAGAAATATATCTTTAAAAAAAATGAATAGAAAAAAGGATTTAAGAAAATAAAATAATTTAAGATAAATTCGTACGAAGTAAATAATAATAAAAACTAATATCAAACCTTATATACATGGATACATTTTGCAAATGTTTCCACATCATCTGTAAATGTTACCACTGTTGCACCATTTGACAATGATGAAAAGAGTACATCACGTCCAAAGGTATCATGGAACAGAGCATTAGAGAGAATAAATTCACCACGGCTTGGTAAATCATAAGCTTCTTTACTGAAATGTACTTAATGATAATCAATTGCTTGTTATCTATCTATTCACAATGATCGAAATATATTTCAAACTTTTAGAGATAAACAATAAATTGATATCTTTTTTTGAGAAGATAGTAATAAAGATGATTGCAAAATATCTGAGAAGTGAATAAAATTACATATTATAATAATTGATTTAAATGTTTTGATAAATTGGCAGCAAAATCTGTAATTTTGTTATCAGAAGTTTAATTATCCATCAAATGTTCACTAATCAATCAATATTTAGCAGTAAAATAACATGCTTGAAATATGATACAATTCTGTTAACAATGAAGGAAAGCTTTAGAACCGAAAAGTAATATAATATGATATGATATGATATTATAGTTAAGAAACTATCTTAATTATTCCAAAATAATCTACCTTCAATTTTCTTCTTCTGTTACTCTTGTCATTTCTTTTCTATTTTTTGAGGGATTGATAAGAAGATTTTCTATTACTACCAATTTCTAATTAACAAAAATTTCTAAATATTGACATTTTTGAGTGAATAATAATTTTATTACATAGTAAAATAATGAAAGATATTTCACTTGTTGAATGTTTTTAGCATAGCATTGAGGACAAAATGTGTAATGGCTACTCCTTTTCGTGGTCCACTTGTTCCTGTTGAATAGGGCAGGAAGACAATATTCTCTTCTGGGGTCATTTCAGGATAGGTTGAAGAACAACGAGCAGCTGTCAAGGCTAAATCATTCAATATTGGAAATCCCTTCGATAGCTGACGACTACCAATGCAAATTATCTAAATTTAAATATAATTACTTTAAATTTATTGCAAAGGATATATGCTAAAAATTTCCAAAATCATTCAATATATGCTTAGTTACTATTATATCTATCATAATTTCTTTTGAAACAGTTTTATATACCCTATGATCGATATTCAATTCGTTAAATATCGCCGATACATTATCCAATGCATTCGGTACAACAAAAGCGAATCTCGATGTTGAATCCATTATTTGCCAACGCATTTCATCTATAAATTGAAAAGTTAGGGTCAACCCTAATCATTACTTCCAGTTGGTCATTGTTAATTTCTGGCAACCGATCACTACAATAGTGGAATTTTCATCTTTAAAACTTTCCTCTTCTCTCCTTCTAAGTTAAATGTATGAGTTTTCATCATTCCTTTATGGTTCTCGGCGAATTTTTCTTTCGCCTACTATCTGTTCAAATCATAAAAGAAAAATGATCAATAAAATGATATATAATATAGCGAAATTTATTCGAAGATTTATTAAAATATAAGACAAAAAATTCAAAGTTATAATTAATTTATTTCTACACCATCCCTTTAACTATATATAAAAACTGTTTAATTGTTTTTGGAAAAACAGAAAGTTCCAAAAAAGCAAGCTATCAACTGGACCTTTTGAAAAACTTGGATGTAGTGGACATACAATTCCACCAGCAAGCGATATTCCAAGAAATAGCCATACGAATTCTGGACAATTTGGTACGCATAGAATTATTGGCTAAAATATGAAAAGTAAATAAACTTCAGCTTTCAAATTCATTTTATTTAAAAAGGAAAAGCAAAATTTATTTTTTAATAATATAAAAGTAGTGAATTGTGTGGAAGCAAATGTGTTTACTATCGCATATTTTTAATTAATTTATAAACTCAATTAAACAAAAGATGTAAACAACATAGTAATTAAGTCAATTAGATAAGCATCTCTTGAAAACAGCTTGATGAAAAAATTTATTCAAATATTACTTCTAAATTTGACAGGTGACAATTAAAAATAATTTTATACCTTTTTTTTTGTAAGAATCTTTCCTTTTTACAATCTTCGTTGTTTTTAGTGGAAATACGTTTATTTTGAATTAAATTTCACCAATCAATTTCATTAAGAAAATTTCATAAGAGATGAAATCTTACCTCGCCTTTCTCTATTCCCATTGCAAGTAATGAATTTGCAATGTATTTCGTTTTGATCAGAATATCCTCATATGTAAATATTTCATCAGTATCATTGTTTATCTATAAAAAATATGGTTATTATAGATTGTTTCTGTTTTTTTTCTTTTTTAATAATTTATCAAAAATTGTGATAGTAAAAAAGTTTGATTACCAATGCTACTTCATTGCCGTATCGTTGCATTTCAGAAAAAATCATTTCATGAAATGATACACACGGAACATTAATATCCGTAAGTTCAGACTTCACCGGCATTTTTAATTGTTGAAATAGAGAATGAATTCGAAATTTTTAAGAATAATAATTGCTGACAAAATAAGATTGTCACTTTCAATTATCGATAAGTTATCTGAAAATATAATAATATTCGCAAATATCAATGATATATGACGAGATTTTCGACTTGATTGCGATTGCATACATATTTACTTATCATAGATTAGAAAGTGTTAATTTATTTAAAACAAAAACTTGCAATTGCAAATTGAATTTAGTATAATTCATGCAATATGTGAATAATTTGAAAATAGCCTTAATCAACCAATGATACTATAATGATTTTCTATGAGCCTCAAACAGTTAAAATGTAATGTTAAAATGAATGCAAACCTATCTGCGTGGTACTTAAATAAGTAAAGATTTGATTTTCAATTAATTGTTCTAGTTATTAGTGTTGATACAATGATTTCGAGTTGTTGAAAATAAAAATTGAAATTCAAAAATTACCAATTTCTTTTTTGTTACGAAAGAGGAAGCTTATGATATGAAACAAATGAAACAGTGAATAGAAGTGGTTTGAAAAGCTGTCAGATTTTTTTAGGTATAGATACATATGCTTGCGGATGGATGTTGTTGCATCACAGCGTAATTTATTGTTTCCATCTCGATCTTTTACTTATCTCACTTACTTTATTATGAAAAACCTAGCTGTATATCCATCCTATCAGCTTTCAACAAATTCCTTGAACTTTTTTACCAGCATCGCTGTAATGCACAATGTGAATGTTGAAAATTTTATTGATTATTAGAAAATTAAGATTATCACGTTTATCACGCTATCATATATGCTTGTTTAGTTTTATATATTATTTTACAATTAATTGCATTTATTTTTTGCTTTTTTTGAGGGAAGAAAAGGTGGAAATTATTTTCATATAAAATTTACAGTAATAATTTAAGGATGAAAAATATTAAGAAAATTTGAGTGAAAAATATAAAGTTTAGAAATATAGAATGTATTGAGAGTTTCTAATTATATTATATTAATTATAAGAATATATTATTGCCTTCTTTTATGCATAGTTTCTTTTGAAATAAATGATTAGTTCATATAAACTATTTTTGGAATTTTCGAAAGAAAGGAGAAATTTTCATATCAATGAAAAGATTGCATACTATTGATATTACATTAATACTTTAGAAAAGTATCGAATGAATGAATACATTATTAATTTTGTTAATTATCGTTTAGAATTTATTAATAAATTGATCTGAAACAATAATTCTTCTCTAAGAAGATTTCAATTATCTTTAATTCGAATTATTGCTTGGCTCATTATGATCATTATGAGATTTCTATCACATTCTGAAGATTCAGTGATAAAAAATAATCGATATTATCAGAATAAAATATAACTGATGAATGCAAAAAAAGTATAAACAATATTTTTTTGTTTATATTTTGAATTTCCTAATTTACCAACTTTATTATTAACAATAATAAACAATATAATAGGTAAAGAACAGGTAAATCATTCGATTATTTTTTTCTATTACTAACAATGCATATTATCACTAAATACACATAATAGAGTGTATAATATAATTTAATCAGTAAATTAAACTAATTAAATGAAAATTGAAAATGATACAATTGGAAAATGCAATAGAAATAATGTAGAAAAATATTTACAAATGTTTCTCTCTCATTCATTACTTGTCATGAGTTAAGAGTAATATCACTTTTCAAATATCATTCTATTCTATCCAACTACTCTTTTTCAATAGCCTATCGATGGTAAAGCATTTTAAAACATTTCAACGCCTACACATATATATATAAAAAAAGAGACACATAGAGATCACAGTTGCTCAGAAAGAGTTGGTTACATTTGTTACCTCAATGAAAAGCTCATTTTCAGGCTCATTTAATGCAATAAATATCATATATCCTAAAAAAGAGAAAGAGAAAGTTCTTTATACCATAAATTAAAGCCATAATTAAATTCTGTTAAAAATAAATTGAAATTGAAAAATTGGCTTTTTTTGAAGGTAAAATCTTTGGGATTTAAACTAAAGTAATTGTGGTACTTTTACAATCATAGGATTATTTGTTAATTTCATTTGCAACATCACAGTTAAACTTTCATATTAACTGTTTTAAAATCAATAGAAAATTGAATTACGTATGACATATTTTTTAAAAGCTAATTAACTTTATCGATCAAATCGAATTAATTCTTAGCTTTAAATAAAATAAAGCAAAATTGAATGTTTGACTTTTTGAATTAAATTAGCAAATAGAAAAATTAGTAATTTCATTCAAATTAAGTACAATTTTACTTAAAGAAAAACGCTTTGAATATTAAGCATACTTCAATTTGAAAAAAGAAAGCAAAGTTTTGACGATTCTGATGAATAATCAGTGAAAGTTGCTTTTTAGTATTTGCAGTACTACTTGTACCGCTTTCAGTGAAGAAACATATAGACAGATCAAATCATTTTTGATTACAAAAAGATTCGATTGACAATTTCTATTAGTTTTACAACATTGTAGGGAACTTCGTAGAACTGAGTAATTTCCGAATGATCAATTTTCCGCTTTTGCCATTCTTTATATTTCATTTAGAAAGGGAAATTATATCTTTTCCATTTTTGGTTGCTACATAAAATTCAGTGTTATTTTCACTTCCTTTAATCTTATTATACTTAATTTAGGTAATTAATCACTCTCATAGATTGAAATATGATCTGGGTCTGGACATTTCATTAGAATAAATAATTTCATATAAGAAAAGTTGAGAAACATTCCGGTCGTAAAGATCAAACAGTATGAATCACTTGTATTCTAAGGCATTGATAAATCAAATCAAACTGCAGTTGATAGCCCATCAAATGATCACTCTTTAGTGAAATCGGATAATATGCGCCATTCGAGTAGGAGATATATAATGAAATAAATGATCGTAATAATCGTGATAACTCTAATGAGTAATAGCCATAGTCAGAAGTTATTAATTTTTATGTGCCTTTTTTTTGCCTCGTACTTCAGCTTCCAATTTTATTGCTAGCTAAATTTCTTTGTGGGAAAAATTTTCGAAGAATTCTTCTTTGTCAGTAAAAACAAATAAGTCAGATATCAAACTTCTTAAATCAATTTTTAAACTTAGAACTTTCATTATCTGAAAATGAATTATAATATATATTCATTAATTTCATTCATTAATTTATCAAATAATATCTTTCTTTTCCCACCGTCGAAAAAAGAATTGATTAATATTTTGAATAGAAAGCTCAACGAAACTTTCAATCATTCAATGAGGGAAATATCTTTTTTATAAAGAAGCGAAATTAATATAAATGAAATATTTTCGCATTATTTTAAAGTACAATATTTAAATGAATGCTTCATTAAGACTTTTATTTGCATTTATGAGAAATGGTAAAATCGACAGATATCAAGTTTTTTTCCTCGAAGCACACACACACACACACACACACACACACACACATATGTATATATAATAAAACAAGTTTTTTCTTCTATTGAATTTGATGATTTTGCGGATCGGAGAGAGATGAGGTATGTATTAAGCGAATGAAGAGGTAAAAGAGAAGTAATAGGTAAGATAAGTATCCTCAATTGAAATTCACTAAGACAACAAATTTTGTAAGCACCGTTAGATAAGAATAACTACGATAATTTGCGCCAAATCCAGTTTTTTTAATTTTTAACTGTTTCTTCTCGTTTCTTTCGAACATTCTTCAGCCGTCCTAATTATCTCATTGGTTGCTTATTTAAATAATTTACTTCACCAATGTTAACTCTTAAAGTTTTGCTTTGACACTTAACAGAATTAATTAACTTACTTAATGGCAATTTGAAACTATATCAAATATTTAAATGTTGATGTTTTTTTCATTCATATCATGCAGCAAAAAGTCTTACGACATTTAACAAAATCAGTGAAATGATTTGTTAATCAAAATTGCAAAATTCGCATTTTCAATGTTCGTTTTTTCCATTCTGTTTTTTAATCTTGCAGTCTTTAAATAATCATAAATAAATATTTACTTAAACTTCATATTATTTTCAGAAAATGGAAATTTCATCGCTTTAATTTTACATGGCTTGAAGTCAAATGAAGAAATTGAGTGTAATGATTGCATTACAAAGGTTACTGTCACCAATAATCATTGGTCATTTCAACTTGATAGTTATGTGCTGCAAATTATCATTCAACAATACAAATTTAAAATATATTCCAAAGGTACAAAAAAATGTTAATTTTATATACAGTAATATAAATGAATTTTATTTCACAAGAAGTTACGAATTGCTTTTCCCTGAAACTTTCTCATTAATTAATTAGAACTGAAGATCATCAATAGCTCATTATTTTTTTCTTAACAATTACCATCAATTGGTCATTATTTTCTTATCAACTACTATCAATTAGATTTATATCAGCACTATATAGCACAATATTTAATAGTTGAAAAACGTAAAAAAATTTTTCTATTAATTTTTGCGCATTTCCTTTCAGGCTCAAAATCAACATTCTCAAACTTACCACAATATTAGCATAAAATGTAAAATGATAAAGGAGCGAAGTGTTGCAATACCACAACAATTTTCATTTTCATTTAATCCCGCAAGTCAAATTCGCGGTTTATTTTTGCAGCATTTTTTAAATGATTAATTAATTTGATAAACCCTACTTCATTGGATGTTGAGGGATTTGTTTTAAAATAAATAATTATTCATAAAAATAAAGAAAAATGATTGTTTTAGGTGCTAGAGCATGTAATCAACCTCAACAAATAGGTACAGGTCCATATCGTATACCACGATGGTACTATAATTCAGCTCGAATGCGATGCGAATTATTTTATTGGTCTGGCTGCTGCGCAAATGGAAATAATTTCCCGTCAATTCATAACTGTCAAAAATTGTGTGAAGGTTTTTCTCTGAACTATTCAATTATTCAATTAAACCATTTGTATAACTTTTGATCTTATTTTTTGCTAAGTTTGAAATCTCAATTTGTTAGCAATAATTTTCTCCTTCTAAGACATACTTACCATAGTAATAATACCAATGGTTGAATAGTATAGTTCAATCAAATGCAGCACAAAATTCTTTATAGTTTGTTTTTTATTGAAATATAATATATATATATATTTCACCATTATCGTTTCTTTTCTTTTTCCTTAAAGCTTACTTATAAAATATTCCGAACAATTGTTTCCTGTAGCTAAAAAAATAGCTTCAATTTTAGTTTAAAAAACAAACAATTGACTTAGTCAATTAAAAGAACCAAAAATTACACTTTTTTATTCGTTTGCATCAAATATTTCCCTTGACTTTATGATTATCACTACCTCAATGTTAGCATTTGATCTTCCATGCTCATCAGCAGGTTGCAGTTGACCCGTGTAAGCAAGATTTGGATCAGGGATACGGCAATGACCTACAAACCCGATATTATTTCAATAAATATACCAGAGCATGTGAGCAGTTCGACTATCGTGGTATTAACGGAAATCGGAATAATTTTAAATCCTTACAGCAATGCCAGCAACAATGTTCAGGTTTTTAAGATGCAAAAATGCTATTAAATTTTTGCATATTTCATAGTAAAAATTACTAAAAATTCTATTCATTAAAAAACTCTCCTTCAACTAAGTCGTTAATTATTATCGAAATTAGAATGCTTCGTATTATTGTGCTAACTGCATCTCATTAATTACCTAAGTCAGTTTGTATTTTACAGAAGTATTGGGTCCATGCGCATATGGTAGTAGCGTACCTCAAATACCTTGCTTTAGTAACGGTGCTTGTGGTGTCAACCAATTCTGTCATATTGGACTGTCTCCGTTAACCACAGTCTGCTGCAGTCGATCGCGTAAATTTAATAATATAACTTTATCAATATCATTTCTATTTACAATCTGAAATTATAAATTTTTAATAAGTTTAAGCTTAAATCTAAACAATATAAGTCTGGAATTGAATCATTCAATTAAAAGTATGATTATTTCTAATCTGAAATTGCAATTGACTGTATCGTGGCGATTACTGCCATACTAGACATATTAATTTCTGAGTAGATGCACTATTAGATGATACGACCTCGTTATTTTAACTTTGATGACTTTTCGAAGAGTGATTTAAATTTAATTTATCATTGGGTTTTCCAATATCATATTTCAGCATCCGGAGATCGATGTCATCAGATGTTAAATGTAGGTTTAGGAAATGCCTTCCTACAGCGATGGTACTTCAATGTCAATTCAGAACACTGTGAACCATTCATTTATAGAGGTTTACAGGGCAATGAAAATAACTTTTTAAATCAAAATGATTGTAAAATAGGTTGTTTTGGTTAGTTTTGTCAATTTTTCAACTTCAATTTTAAGTTTGCATGAAAATGAAATTTATGTTTTTTTGAGAATGATGTTCTCTGTAAAGAATATCAATCTTTTCAAAAAATTAATTATTTTCTTTAGTGAATCCATGTGCTGCTGGTGAACCATATCAGATTCAAGGAAATACTATTCGATGCTCACCAGCTAAACCATCAATATGTCCAGCTGGGCATTATTGTCACATTGGAGCTGAAATACAAACAACTGTTTGCTGTCCAAATCTTGGTTAAATATCCTTATACACTCTTTTTTTGCTTTCCTAAATTCAATAATGTCTCCTAAATTTTTAGGCGGTAATGCATGTGAGCAACAGTTAGATCAAGGCCAAGGAAGTTATCAGTTACAGCGATGGTATTGGAATGTTGCAAATCAGCGATGCATGCCTTTCGTTTATGCTGGCTTGAAAGGCACACAGAATAACTTTTTAAACCAAGAGACTTGTGAGAGAACTTGTTATGGTTAGACCCCTTTTTAGTTCTAAAATTCGAAACAAATTCACTTAAAGAGTTAAGCTTATAAATTAAATGAAAGTGAAACAATGATGCGCCTTTTCGTGTACCTTCAAATTTCTTCTCAATAAATGTGTGATACCTTTATTTTGATTTAAATTATATTTTTTGTCCTTAACAATTAGAAACACTGAAAGAAGAAAAAAATGGCCATTTCTAAACATTACTTAAAAAATCTCTCTTTGCATTTCAATATGTCCAAGCTTTGTAAGGAAGAGAAAGTAAATAGAACCCTTTTTAAAAGAAAAAAGACGGAAATACAAATAAATTCTTTATTTCATTTTAAAAAGAACTCTAAATCAATTCCATTCAGAATTTGCAGCATTCGAGAATCCATGTGTATCAGGTAAACCACAGCAGGGAATAAATAATCGTCCGCTAAGTTGTAACTCAACTGTTTACAACGATTGCGCAACAACACATTGGTGTCACATTGGTGCAGTACCACAAACAACAGTGTGTTGTCCCGGAAGAGGTAATCTTATCACTTTTTTCTGCAATTTTTTTGCAAAATGAAGACAAATTACATAATACTTTAAATGAATTTCTAGAGCTTGTATCGTGATTTTTCTGATAGCAAAATTTTCAGCGATTCGAAGTTCTTTTAGACTGCTAAGAACTCTTTTAGATTTTAAGAACCCAATTAATATCAGTCTATTTCAAGTTTTCATGAAAATTCAGCCAAATTAATGGTGAATAAAAAAATTTCGAAAATATTATTGTTTGTAGTGGAAGGTCCAGCTATTTGCAAATTATCATTAGCTTTTGGTTCGGGTAATGGTAACCTGAAACGATGGTATTTCGACCAGGACGTTCAAAATTGTGTTCCATTCAATTATGCTGGAATGTATGGTAATCAGAATAATTTTCTAACACAACAGCAATGTCAACAAATTTGTCCAGGTAATGTTTGGTATTTTGAAGAAGGATAATTTTTTTCGTCTTGATATTGAAATTGATGAATAGCTATCCTTTCATCAAGTATCACTGAGAAATATTAATCTTTATAAATGCAGATTATTCCCAAATAATCTTTTGGCCTCTTTTGTATTAGACCCAGTTTCAAATAGCTCACTCTTCTGTCTGGTTGATTTTTTGACCTTATCAAACTGGTACCTAAATATTTATAGCAAATATCATATGCAACTAATTGTTGCTAATTTTCGTTTTTTGGCTAAGTAATCTTGTTAATATAAGAAGTATTTGTACCTTATTTACAAAGTTTCTTATTCGGGTCACTGTACAAATGCAAAAAATTAATGATTACAACTTTGTGAATGTATCAAAGATTTATCTAATTAATTTAATATTAAATTTAGGATTTATAAATCCATGTGCATCCGGTATTCCGGAAATGGATAACAGTGGTCACGTAATAATATGTAACAAGTCATTCAATTCATGTAGCCCAACATTTTGGTGCCATATTGGAGCTCAACTGCGCACAACACTTTGTTGTCCAGACAGAGGTAATTTTTTTGAAAAGCAATTTGAAAATTTACATAGCTTTCTGTGATCTATCAAATAAATATATCATACAGAATTAAGTTTACTTTTTGAAACTATTTTCTTTTTGAATTTACACTAACGGATTTTGGAACGGAATATACATGTTAATTATCAGCGAATTGACATGGCGAACTGTACATTAAAGCAATGCCGATTGCAGATGTATAATTTTATTTGTCATAAAGTTAGCTATTGCATATGTTTTTGCAGTAGATGAATCGATTGTATGTCAACTGCCATTTGCAAATGGTGATGGTGGAGCTAATCTTCAACGGTGGTACTTTAATAGTAATATTCATCAATGTGCGCCATTTACTTATGGCGGCTTACACGGGAACCAAAACAATTTCCTCACTCAACAGCAATGCGAGCAATACTGTCCTGGTTACTGCAATTTTCTCTTCTTATATCATAAGAATAATTAAAGTAAAATAGAAATTTTCAGTGTAATCGGAATTTAGGAAAAAATGTAAAAAATGTAAAAAAAATGTAATTTTAATTTGCATTTGCAATTTTAGTATTTTTAAATCCATGCGCTTTGGGTGAAGCACAAATGGGACAAAACAGACGTCCACAATCATGCATTTCATATGACCAATGTGCTAATGGTTATTGGTGTCATATTGGTGCAGTCTCGCAAACAACTGTATGCTGTCCAGGGAGAGGTATCCATTTTATCAGTAATTCTTAGATATTAATTTCTGCATAGGATTTCAAGTATTGAATTTTGCAGCACAAGGATATGCAGTTTGTTTGCAATCAATGACGGAAGGAACCGGTAATGCAAACTTGCAACGATGGTACTATGATGTGAATACTAGGCAATGCCTACCATTTACTTATCACGGTATGATGGGTAATCAGAATAACTTTGTCAGTAAACAACAGTGTCAACTGGTTTGTTCTGGTACTTTTATTAATTTATTTGTCAAAAATGAAGAATTATATTAAATTTTCTTCTGTGTTATTGTTAATTGAACTTTGTAGATGGAGACATATTGTTAACTGAACTTTGTAGACGTATTACCATGCGACACTGTCTCCATCTATACTTGTAAATTTGCAAATTTAAATTTATCGTCGATCGAAAATTGCTCCTACATTTTTCAACTGCAAAGAGTAATTAATTTCCAGCTTATGAAAATGTGTGTCCACAAGGTGTTCCGTTATTGGAAATGAGCACTAATAAACCACGACTTTGCACATTTGGTGAAAATAGCTGTGGTTCAAATTATTGGTGTCATCTGGGCTTGGTATTAAATGAGCATCAATGTTGCCCTGGTGCGGAAACTAATCCTGCAGCATGCAAGATGCCACCTTCAATTGGTATTAAAGGAGCACCTGCACCACCTGCAAACCGTTGGTATTACGATATAGCTACATTAACCTGTAAAATGTTCAAGTATAATGGCAGAAAAGGGAATCAAAATAATTTCATAACTGAAGCTGATTGCGCAGCTACTTGCAAAGGTTTGCGGACCTTGAATTATTCATTTCTTGTAACAATTGTAAATTTAGGCGATTCAGGAAAATTTTCATCTGTTTTTTGTGATTGCTGTATCAAATTTCAGTTCTCGTGAATCCATGTAATCGGCCAATATCACTGCCACCTCAGACTTGTTCCAGTTCAGGAGCATGTCCCATTGGTAGCTATTGCCATTATGGTTCAACATCGAAAACTACGATCTGTTGTCCTTTTGGTGCTATTTTTGGACATCCAACAAACTTTCTCTATTTTTTAAAATTTATTTAAAATTTTTTGAAACTATTCAAAGAGAATATGAATTTCTTCAAGTTCTCATTTCTTTGAAATTTATTCTGTAGAAGGAAATCGTTGCGATCAGCCAATGTCTGGCGGTTCTGGTAATGCATCATTGCGGCGATGGTATTATAATGCGCAGAAAGGCATATGTGAAATGTTCATATACAGTGGATTGCATGGCAATGCCAACAATTTTTTAACCAAAGAGAATTGTGAAATCGCCTGCAGAATAAATCCCTGTCCTAATGGTCTGGTCTTAAATCTGTTGAATTGGATTCAAATAAATAAAATCAAATTTAAATTTAACTTGATCGGAGATTTTAAATGTTGCCTGAAATTAGACTTAAATCTCAATCTCAGTTAAAATTAAATTTTCAAAATGGAGTCCTGAAAGTTTAGATCTATTTTACCTTCCAGGCCAACCGTTTGTCACTTTAAATGGTACTTATCAAACTTGTGTTGCATCATCATTACATATAAACAGTTGTCCCAGCGGTTATTGGTGTAATCCTGGTAGCAATACACTTACAACAGTTTGCTGTCCTGGAGGTAATTTCTTTTAACAATTGTATTAAATTTTTTAATGAAAGGAATAGAACTGCAATTGAAATTGTAAACTATTTTTCATTTATTGTCAAAGAATCTGAATGGAGTGCAATCGACACATTATTTATATAATAACGATTTTTCCAATTTCAGCAGTTAATGATCCGTGTAATTTGCCGATGATGATAGGCGAAGGAAATGAAAAATTAGAACGTTACTATTACGATGCAATGACAGGATTATGTCGAGCTTTTACATATCAAGGTATGAAGGGAAATCAGAATAATTTCTTATCACAGGTAAGAGATCTTTTTTAATTCTACAATTACTATGAAATTGAAATACAACTGCTAATCATAAAGCAAATTTGCTAAATTTATTTCTTGAAAGAAGAAAATTCTTATTGCTACATAAAAGTGTAATTTTAGAATTGGAAGCTAAATTATAATAGTGCGTATTATATTTATTAATATCACATGTTATTATTAAAAAAGATTCAGATACTACTGATTTAATCAAGTAAATTGATAAATTAGATGAATATTTCATAATCTAAGGTCTATTCCGATTTCTTTTGCGTATCCATTCAAGTATTCATTGATAATATATGAAGAAAAAAAGATTGAAATGTTACTAAAAAAGGATTCAGATGCTACCGATGTATTCAAGCACAATCACTTATATTGTTGAGTTAAATAATATTCTGTAAAATGAGACGAATTATTTTTGCATATTCATTCAAAGTGATGAAAGTAAATTATTTGCAAAATAATTTAAGTATTCATTTATAATATTTGTAGAAAAAAAGATTGAAATGTTACTAAAAAAGGGTTCAGATGCAAAAGTGATGAAAGTAAATTATTTTCAAATAATTTACTTTCATCACTTTGAATGAATTTGCAAAATACTTAAGCAAATATTGCACAGTTGCTTGAATGTCAATCACGTTTGTTGTACTTTTGCGCTTAATAATTTTTAGAGGGAATAAGTTCTTATTAAAAGACGATTTCTTGGAGAGAATTAAATAAAGATTTGATCTGATATTTTTTGTACTTGCAGATAGCATGTCAACTACGATGTCGTCCACCTGAAAATCCATGTATTGGGCAAATAGCAACAAACACTGCAGGACAAATACTTTTTTGTTCAGCAATCAATAAAGAGGTGTGTCCGGTAAATTTCTGGTGTCATGTTGGTGCAACACCGAAAACAACCGTTTGTTGTCCTGGAGGTAGCATTTTCACTTTCTTGATGAAGAATTTCCATGCAAGACAATGAACATTTTTGTTAATTGAAACAATAGATGTGTTAGTTTGATAGGGATACAGTGCATTTGGTTTCTATGAACCAATGTTATCGACTGTAAGTAAAATTGATAGAGAATGGCAAATGTTTTTAGCAACAAATCCATGTTCGGTGCCACTTTCACCAGGTTCCGGTAATGCGAATCTGTCGCGATGGTACTATAGCAGTGATGATCGTGAATGTTTACCCTTCCAATACAATGGTATGCGAGGCAATCAAAATAATTTCGTGTCACAGACAGAATGCTCAAGAACTTGTCCAGGTTGGCTTTTACACTTACCAAAGTACTTTTTATTCACCATATTAATGGTAATCCAGATAATGTGATAATTATTGTATATGAAATAATTAATTCCTTAAAAAGTAAATCACTATGATTTCCTTACGAATTGCTTACGAACTGAAAACAAAAATCATTCTGAAGTGCTTGGCTACAATTTTTCAGTCTGAAAAATATTTCCTTGATTGAATTATTTCGTTTTCACTGATCTAAGACGATTTTTCTACAGTATCACACTCTCTGTTAGCTTTCATTTTTGTCGTGCAGTGCTGAACTAATTAGCGCAAAAGGCTTGTACTCACAAATTGCTTGCTGCACTTGCATGCTATTTAAGAATTCTCATGTATTTTTCTTTTAAATAATTGTTTTTTTTATCAGGGCTACATAGACATACACATTTTATAATATTTCAAATGCATTTGATTGGAAATTAGTTTGAATAGTTCAAAAAAAATTGGCGCATTTATTTGGTATGTCATTATTTCATCGGATAGGGTTTTGTTTCAGTATTTGCGAATTCATCCATTGGAAATTTAGTACGAGACGGGAAAGAAAAACTAAGAAATGCAACCAGTTAAGGCTAAATACTTTCAGTACGGTCATTTTTATTCGATCGCAAACAGCAAAAAATCATAGAAGTTGCTGCTATCCAAATTATATAGGGCTGATATTTGTCACTTAAAATATAAAATTGAAATTGAAGTTATGCATGAGATTCAGAACAATAATTTCAAGAGTAGGATGATAAAATATTGATTTTAACTAGCTTATTTATCTAACAGGAAAACAGATTTAGTAAATGATAATTTGAATTTTTTATAACAGTGACTGTAAATACGATTTGTTAATGAATTAAGTATAAATATCGCCGAATTTTACCAATTAACTAAATGAAATTTTAAATGGCACTTGAAAAGAATTGAATTTGTTTTTTGGTCTATTCAGTTTCTGAAACATATTTCGTAGTGATGATAATTTTTGAAAACTTCCATAAACAGTATATATTCTAGAATATCTCTCACTTACTTGGGTCTGTTCTTTTGAAAGAAATTCTTCATGACACCTTCAGCAATATTTTTTAATTCTTTTTAGGTATATTTTTTAATTTTAAATAATACAAACTTCTGATAAGATATTTTGATGGAACAGAAATTTGAGTATTAGATTTATGTGTTATTGATGATGTAATTTATTTTAAATGCTTAAAAATGGACATCGCTTTTCAACTCTTTGAACTGCTTTTCAGGAAGTCTGGGTGATGCTCATATGGTGTTTATTTATATGAAAAGACAATGGTGGATACAATAGTAACAATAATACTTGAATACTGAGCAAAATTTCTGCTCTCCTTTTCTCGTAAAGTAATGAAAATAATTTTGTTATCGAAAAACTTTTCAAACAAACTTGTGAGGTCGTGGTAATTCCAGTGATTAAAATTAAAAAGAGTGATTTAATATGAATTATGGAATATTCCATGTGGTATACTTTTGGAGGATACGACAAATAGTGCCATCTTTTTGAAAGTGTTATTTTCTTTTAGATTAAGCTTTTGGCACGTAAAAGAATTGCAAATAGCTTAGCGAATTTAATCCTTAAATGTTCCTAATATATTTTTTCAAAAATCACTTAAAGAATATCCTGCGTAGTCGCAAACTTGTTTCGTGTGGTAATGAATTGTCCTCATTCCAGTATCAATCAGGTTTACAGTTATTTCCTGAAATGCTCTTTTCATAACAAAAACGTATGAAAAATTTTTAAAAACTAATATTTGTGCAATTTAGCATTTAATAAGTAACTTATTCAAGTCAATAGATATATTTCATATTTAAATTTGCCTTATCGTTCTAGAATTTTTTAAATTTTAGAGTTTGTTAACATCGGTCTCTCTCATTTTTATGAGTTTTACTTCTAGAATGGTAAGGTAAATTTAAAGTTCCATAAAATTTTTTATATAGTACGCTTTTAATTCCTACTGTTGATTTATCATTTCACTCGTTCATTTATTCAATTTAATTTGTGATCATTTTTTGTTGTCACTTGACTCTTATTGATTAAAAATAAAGATTTATCTCTGAGATTCATGGGGGAATGATTAAATTAAGATTTGTTATCTCTGAGATTCATTTTTGGTCAATCATAAATTTTGACCATAAAATAAAATCATGAATTTTGCCACATCAAAACAAATTAACCCCTCAAACTTCTTTGCATGTCTGTGCATGATGCATGCAAAATTTTTTAGCCATATTTATTCTTTATTTTTTGGTTTATTTAGAAATTAATTCTTAGCCGTTAACTAAAAAAGATTTTTCCACTTCATTTAACTCAATGAAATTTGCTAATTGAATATTAGTCTTAAAATCTTTCCTCAAATAATAATGAATGGTTTCAGTTCGATTTCAACTTCCTCTACATTTACAAAAGTTTTATTTAGATAATGCTAATAGTTTTTAACTTAAATTAAAAGCTAAATTATGTTTCACACATCTATCGTTAAGGATGAACGAATGAATATGCACTCTTTTTGATTTAAGTATGTTTTGAAAAATTTGTGTATTATTGTTAACAAGCTAACAAATGTTAGTAGATACATATATGTGTCAAGAACTAATAAGGAGTGATGAAAGACTGGAAACAAAGCAAACAGTAATTAGAAACGATTCAATTATAATTTTTTTTATTAATCTATGTATTAGTTCTAATGCTTTCATTGAATTTTTTATGTTTTTCAGAGCAACTATGCTTGTTGTCCATAGACAGAGGAGCCTGTAGTGGACATCAAACACGTTATGCCTTCGATCGGCAACAGGTTTATTTATTTTATCATAATACTATAATAAATCCAAAACTATCCTCCCATCTCATGATTCTGAGGCAACAAGCTTATTGAATTTTGTAAAACTGCTCCATTCCTACATACCTCAGATGACAAAAGGGAAACAAACGTAACGAACAAAAACTAAAATTATTACTCAACAAAAAACAATTAAGACTATCACGTAATAAGCTAAAAAAAGCCCAATATGAAACAATGATGTAAAGAAAAAATTTAACGAACTATTGGAATTTAATGTTTAAAATAAAAGAATGCTTTTGAGAGAAGCTAAAAATCAATTCGATGCAATCTAATCGGATCTTAGTAAAGTGGAAATCAATGTTTGTCAACCGGTTGGGTGAGATTGATTCGTTTATTCTATTGAGAAGTTTTCGGATTTTTGGTACTTCGGCTGCTTTAATCAAAGTTTCTGGCATACCATCTCGGGAACAAAAATTTTTCGTAAAAAACTGGTTTTGATGTAGAGAAACTTCATTTTGTTGAAGGAGTTATAGAGGAGCGGTAAATATTAAGGCCTGAACATTACGAGATTATGAGTGATCACTACATATATAAATATAAGGATAGCAGCGGTTTACAATAAATATTCTACAAAATCCTATTGGATACAAGGATTGGTATGTAAAGCTATGTAAAAGAAGATCTGATAACATGGCAGCAATGAAATATGATTGGTTACCAAACTTGAGACATTTACATGAGAATTAGTTTCCTTTAATTTGACCAATAAAGATAAGTATAGGAATTAAAAAAGGTATGAGAAATTAGCGAAATGATTCATCGCATTAGACATTGTCATATTTATCAAATTATAATTTATACGATGAATCACTTGAATGTGAAATATTTCTGCAATTATTTTTATTTTTATTATTTAAACGTATTTATTATAAATTATTTCGAGTTTTGCGACAACTTTGTTGAATAAAGAATAGGTGAAATAAATATTATGTAAAGCCAAATAAATATTTCATTATTTTTAAAAAGAAAAAGAAGTTATGATCTATATTGATCTATTACTGTAATTAAAGTAATTACTTTGGTTATTTATAACTGAATATTCTATTGCAGAATCAATGCGTATCATTCGAATATACAGGTTGTGGTGGTAATCTGAACAATTTTCATTCTTTAACTGATTGTATATTAACTTGCGGACAAGTCGGATTTTGAGAGATTATTTCAATTTTAGAATTCCAGCAGGTTTTCCATATATTGGCAATGTTTTGTGAAGTCTTTTTAACTCTTTCAAGCAATGTTTTCCTGAATAATATCAAGGATTTAAGTTGAATTGGAATATTTCCGGTTAACGCATATCAAATTTCAACCGAATTTTATTCCTGATTTCTTTCCAATTCTCTTTGACTTTTTAGAATTTCTAGAAATTTCAGGCTTTTAACAATTTAACTTTTTGTTATTCATTTTATGTTTTAAAAACCATTAAATTCAATGTGCTATTTACTTTTTTTTTAAATTTCAAGAAACTAAAAGCTTTTCGATTGAGAAAAAAATGGTCTTATAACCAAAATACATTATTTCTTGCGTATATAAATCAATTTAACATCAATTTTGAGTAAATATCGAAATGTCACTTAAAATTTTAATACACAAATTCAAACTTTGATCTGGTCGATTTATCACGTGACTGGAAAAGAAGTGAGATAAACCTTAAATTTTGAAAAAATTCACGAAATTAAAAAAAAAAATTAAAACTGCCAATTACGTTTATTGTTCATTATGCGTTCATTTATTGTTTAAAAATGTTCGTAATATGTCTTAATAAATACAATGGTTTTTGGTTGCTTATGAAATTTATGATTCATTTCACATTTCAAGCGATACTTTATCCTCCAATAAGAGAAAAACATTATAGAAAGAAAAGATAACTGAAAATAAACATTAGAAATAAGGCTTAATCACTAAGACATCCATTCGTTCAGATAGGAATTCTACTACAGATCAATTTAAACTCAGAAAGTTGCTCTCTCCATCTGAAGTTTCGCATTTTGCTCGAGATTTTTTGGATATTTATGTATCAAAATGAGATAACTTCCTTTTTCTGCGTACTTCCATCATAAATTTTAAGGCTCTGCAGATACAGTTCAGTTAGATTACGAATGCCTGTTTTACTGCATACATATTGGTCTCTCCCTACGGATCATATTTTCATTCCTTTTTTTAACAAATTCAAATGTCGTAAATTTATGATGAAACGGAAAAAGTTTGATTTCACTAGAAGTGATTATGTTGAACAAAATGATATTTTTGAAAGAGTTTTTTGGAGAGAAAAATCAGTTTTATCATAAATCCTTATTATCTTTCATGTAATTAACTATTTTCAAAATGACAGAATTTTATACTCAAATCTCTCTTCTTCTTTCACTGTCTTCCATTGCCAAAAAATATAAATCACAACTAACTTTCATATCACAACATGTTTAGGCTAAATTTTCCCCTGAACCATTTCTTAATTTCAATTCAACAACGTTTTTGATACACACATATTCATATTGTAAAAATTCTTCGTAAGAAAAAAAATTTGTTTCTCAATTGTTAACGATTATTTAAAGAAGTGATAATTATTTTAAAAGTAGAAGTGAGATTTACGATAAAATAAGTGTTTGACGTTACTCCGATCATATGATCGCTAGCTGTTCATAATATCTTTGTTATTATTGAATTGAAAATAACAGTTTAGGTGTGTTGTTGTAAATGAAGTGACTTTTAATCACTGAAAAATTG